AAACTCATTTCTTAGAAATACCTTGTATATACGCGACTAATTCTCAATTAAAGCTATGACTTAAGTAATCAAAATATCGATAGAAAATTCTTGAAGCGACTGGAACTTGGTGTTATTAACCCGCTTTTGTAATAAACATGGAGTTTGTTCTCGAAGTCAATTAACTTGCTTTAGAGGTTAACTGCCGAATTCTCTTTAAGGCACAATTAAGTAGTTAAAAAATGTTTATTTTATAACTAATTCGGTGTCCAACTTTAATATAACAGCAATATGATTCGGCTTAGAAATTCCGCTGAAAGGCATCCAGATAAGCAAGTACTAAGTAGCTAAAGATTGATTGTTATATTAACAGAAAGATACAGAAGAAAATATTATGACAAGAAACGATGTTATGAGCCTGACAGACTTTAATAAGGTTGTATTTTTAAACAATTACTAATGGTCTAAAATTATCGCAATTCATTTTCACTTTTTCTTTTTCATATGTCCTTTTTTTAATATTGTCCTGATCACTGTTCACATATATTTTAATTGCTTTGTTTTGTTCCATAAGTTTTGTCTAAATAACTATATGTCTTATGTATTTTTTCACTCCTTGCTTACCTTATCTAAAAAAATTTCTCACACGTCACTCGAAAGCGATAAGGCCGCCAGTTACCCCCTTTTCATTTAATTAGGTCAATTGTATTATACTTGTGTATTCTCTATGCTCTGTGTATAAATTTGTATAATCTCAGTATTATAGAAACCTCGTACAACATCGTCTAATTATTGAGAGTTCAAACCCGAACTTATGCATTGAATAATAGAGGAAGCTAAGTCTTGTCGCCTTGCACTTTGGTAATTGACTTGACTTCGAAATAGCTCTGCAGTTTACAATGGCGTTAATTATTACTAAATATAATAGTTTAGATCTGATGATAACCATGATGCCCGGAGTGTGCCAAACTCAATATGTTTTTATAGTTTTACGCGGAATAGGCAAATAACGTTAGAAAGGCATTTTATCCAATTCTGTACTAGAGCCCGTATTGCTTTGGCTCCCACAATTTTATATGCAAACTCTATGGAATATTATTTTTTGACCATATGTTGATGGATAAACTATTTGAGATCGAACGGGGACGAATTTTATTTACATTGTTTTCTATTAATATATACGTACTACAATTATTCAAGGATATAGACATAGGTTATTTTATAAGAGATAAATGTTACTTAAGTAAATTACTGAAGATTTAAGTACACAACAAACCTAAATGAAAGCTTTATAACTAGGGTTATTCTTCTTCAGGAAGCAACGTTCTTAAGAGGTATTTTATCTACCGTTAGAGATTATTTAATGGTCAACTTTTAGTACGATTATACTAGCACATATCCTGACTATAAAATAGTATTGTAAAGTGCCTGTATTATGGCGTATTCAGCTTCTAATGGCGGTGGCAGAACATAAATCCTACAGTGATGGAAGCTGCAGCTTGTTGGCTAATTCATTAGGAAAGTTCGACTACGCCGTCATTGTCTAACTTTACAAATTTACTGTCGTACTGTAGTTTCTGTTTTCAAATAAAATTTGCATGCCAGTTAGAGTTTTACACAAATTGTTTTAAAATGTGTCGTCATATTTTAACTCAATAATCATTGTTATTAAACAACTTATAGAAGTGTATAATTAATGGTTTTTGACGGATCAATGCATTTTCTATATGCATGAATCACCGGTTCATACAGTAAACTATGTAATGTATGAAACGAAAAAGTTTACGGGTAAAGGGTATACACAAGGTCTATACGTGCCCTGTAAGGGGTTGAAAATCTACTAGTCTGTAGTAGAATCAGATGTATTAAAGACCAAGCATTATAAAGGGTTGCAGCTCCACTGGATTGTTTATCCTAAAGTAAATTTATATTATATTTGATGTCAACTGTAAATGAATGAAGATTTTGTTTTGTATAGAGACATTGAGTCGAAATCGTGTACTTAATAATTATAACTTAAGTCATTCAAGCAACCTCAGATGCGCATACGAAAATCGGCACAATTTTTCTCCAGTACCTTCTGCAGCGATCAGCAAAACCAGGTGTCAACGCAATAATCTGGCGTTACGTAGTTACTACCAGGGCATATACAGTTTAAAGACCGGGTTGGCATCTTATCAATATTTTATTATTGATATATCGATACGCATATAACATAACCGATTCACATATGACAAATTGTTAAATAAATGAGCTAAGGGTCCTCAAATGCAGATAATAGTTCCAATAATCCCTTAAAAGGGACGCCAGACCCCTCGTCATGCCCGCACCTTGGGATAAGACGTCACAAATATGTCGGATATTGTAATTCCCTTTGGTATTCTGTCATTTATGAGAATTAATAATGCACAATAGAATCGTGTAACCAATAGTTTGGTTAATTTTACAGTAAGTACGAGTATGTGTGAATGATATGGCTTAGTGCTAATGGGTGCCATTTTCAACCTTAAAGTTGTATAAGCCCTCTAAATTGATAGATTTTCTATCTATTAATTGATATATCGTTTGCGTTTAAGATATATAAGAATCAGGTTGATTGCCCCAAACTTTTAACTAGTTTTAAATTTAGCGTACCCTCTAGACACTCCAGGCATCCCATAATCTCATTTGTCTTTCAGAAGAACGCGTTTTGGTCGAAACTCACCGATATCCCTGCTGCTATTGCTCCCCTAACACTTTGAAATCAATTTTCTTTTAGTTTTTATAACTTATGAATCGATATATTTCTGAAGTTATACTTCTTTAGGCGCGTTATGAAAAATTGATGAGAGTGAAATTTTACGATGCGCGCGCACCGTGACACAAAATTAACAGAATGAAGTTGCCCACGGAAGATGCTACGGCATTGGACATAATTTAAAAACAACATTCGAATAATAATAGAATTTATGTTACACTTAATGTAAGAGAATAATAATAAATATTTATTTATTTAATTTTTCAAAAGTAAACGGAACTTTATTGACTATAATGACTCGTTTTCCAGTCTTTGATTATTTAATTGTAATTAATTATTTGCATGCAATCAAAAACTATTTTTAATAATGCCAAAGAAGTATAACTTCTTACGCGCGTACATAAGTACGCACCCTTTTTTATTTCTCTTCGTGTTTGTTATGTTTGCCTATATGCCTAGTGCTTGAACATTAAATCTTGTATTTTATTTTTCAAAGTATCAGTGTGCCGAGAGTTGGCAAGGTTTTGTAATTAAATAAACATGGATACACTATATACACTGTTACATATGGTAATAAAAAACGTATATCAGGTAAAGAAAGTTTATAACCTACTTGTCTTAGACGACTTAGAAAATTATCAATAAACTAAGAAATTCCCCCCTTGCCCCTTACTTTGGGTGGTAACTCTCTGAATATTTTGAATAACCTAAAGGTTGTGAAGTCAAACTTTGTACCTTTTCATAAGGTTTTAACTCAGTTACGTTCTAGATACTTAAGAAGTATATATACAGTGGAAAAATCTGAATACTACCCGAAGTTGTAGAATTTCCTTTGATTTCTGTATTAAACATGTCACAGCCATCAGGGGCTGTTATGCTTTTAAAAATGTGTGACTAGAATATCGATACAGATGCCGAATTGACATGAGTTAAGCTATTATTATAACTTACTTAGACAATGCCATGTTATTACAGAATCCCAAAACGAAAAAATTGAACAAACAAAGTTTGTAAATATATAGATTTAAAAAACGATGATGTTTTACACTATTACACATTTCTTATTAAACCGGCTTTTTGTAATAATCTCGATATTATTCAAATTGCAACGGACATATAATAAGCATTTATTTTCTGAATGGATATCCTCTAATGTTATTGCATTCTACGTGAAATTGAACTAAGCTTATGTAGAGGGGTCGGATAAAATACGGGGTGCGTAAAATATTTCACTCCCCAGCCCTGTGTAATTATTGGCATTTTTGGGAGGAATCTCGAATTTCCGAGGTGTAATCCAGATAGGGGCTGCGACAAATAATGGAGGTAAAGTAAATAGATGTGATCTTCGAGAATTCCTATCGTATTTAAGAAGCTTTGGAACAAAGTACCTATTAATTTGTTCGTATATACTCTATAGAATCAGTATCTTCTCTTTTTACAAATTACAATGTCGTAGTGATTTTACAATATATATTAAGGATATAGTAGCTAAATGTAAGCTAAGCTAAAAACGGTGCACATTTTCGTATCGAAAAATATCGAGCACTTTCTAGCTGTCTCATCTAGAATAATTTATTCTTCGTGAGCTCTTCTATTACCCAATATATTAGCTTTATTGATCGTCTGTGGTGCGCCTATTTTGGCCTCCCTTTACAATTCTCTATTGTACTTTCTTTTAATATTTTATATTGGATAGTATTGACGACGCCGTAGTAAAATAATACTAAGATATTATCTACATCTATTGTATTGGGAACGTACGGTTTAAAAGGAAATAATAAAACCAAAATTTAAAATAGGAACTGATTTATTATATACACAATTATTTACACCGGAGCTCAGCCTACTTACCTAAATGGCCACTTGAGCAAAATTATTATTAAGTATTATGCATCACTGACTTAGTATACGTTATAAACTAGAGAAAAACGAATAGAATGTGTTAGTATCGTGGACGGTGTAAAATCACATGTTCCTGTCATAAATAAATTCATTTGTTAAATTCTAATGCGATTATAGAAATGAATAAAGGTATAAGATACGAAATAGTTCCTAATTAAACATTGACATGGAAAGTAAAAAAGAATGATTGTAAAGACTTGTAAAGAGGTAAAATTAGTAGACCCGAGTAAACAGCTTGGTCTAGTTAGTAAAACTATCGTGTGTATAAAACAATGGCATTAAATTTTGACATTTTGAGTATTAATGTGATCTCAAACATTTAAAGTTACTCACTTAAATTAGTATTTAATTCGTAGTAATCACGTTTAAAAGTCAACAGGCGCTATAAACGCAAATCATCATCCGATTCACTATCACTCCCGTCAATAATAGCTTTGTGTATCTCTTCTTCAACATCCAAAGCACTTTGATGCTTATCATCTGCAGCCAATTCTTTATACGCCACCTTTATATTATTATTATAATTGTTTCTACCATACTTCTTCTTCCAACACGTGCTTAGTACATAACAAACAAACAAACCGCATACAAAGAGTACTATCGAGAGAATCACGTTAACTTTGTATTGCCAGTTTGCGTCAGTTAGCTGAGGCAAGATTATGTTTGGATAGCAATAGAATTTAGGTTCAGCATCTGTTAAGTTGACGATTTGGGCATCGTCTAAGCAGGAAGAGCATTGGCTATTGTGCGGGCCAACGCACGTGGCACAGGTGTAGTGACAAGACAGGCATATCAGGGGAGCGGTGTAGTTAGTAGTCGGTTCCATATCTAAGGCTTCCGAAGCTGTCGGCTTGTTATCACCCTGTCGCTTAATGACAGGCGGTCCAGCCTCCAAAACTGTAAGGTTACGTCGCCTCGAAGTACGCTCCAGTATTTCCCCCGCGTACGTACCGTCCGGACAACTCTGATAGCATCGAGCGTCGTACAAGTGCAAACCCTTCGCGCATTCTAATGGGAGAGAGAACAGGTATATCAGTACATGGGACAAGAATACCGACACCACCCAGCACCGTCCCAGCCTCCATGCACTTGCGTCGGCAGCGTGATGCAGAAGTTCCAGCTCCAAGTTCGTAGACACAGACAATGAAAACAGGAATTGAAGGGAAACGTTTAGTAAAATCTCGTCACTGATCTCAAATAATTTTGTTGATTTAAAACAAACAGACGTCTCTAGTGCTTCTTGCATGCCGGAAAGAACGTGCACAAAATTAGATGAAATCAGGAAATACTGGACAAAATTAAATATGGATCGTGAATGTGAAACAAAAGTTGTTAGAAGTAGGAATTAGTTTAGCGGAAAGCGGAGATACTATGAATGTTAAGCACGTAACAAGCGAAGCGGGACATGCAACAAATAACATTGATCACACATTTCTAAAGTTAAACTAATAACAATTATACGTCAGTTTGATTTATACAACATTTAACTGCCGACATTGATCAGAGACAAGACTTCAACTTAAATGAAAATCTATATTGATTTTGTATTAAAAGTTTTTCTTTTATTATATTTCCATCCACATCACGTTCAATATATACAAATTTAACATTTACATTTATAAATACAATTTTGGTAGCTACTTAACGCCGAATGGTGAACAATTTTACATGTATACAGCAAAACTGTTATAAAAATGGGATTCTTAACGACTTCTAGTACATCGACATAATTAAAACGTGATACAGCATTTTAGTCTAGGCTACGTCATCTAAACAATTTTACATATTTAGACCATTTAAGTTATACTAACTAGCAGTCGATGAGAAATCTTGATCGATCAGTCGTTTTAAAATTTACATTAATGAGCAATTTGTACAAGTCTCCAAATTTTATTTTACCATTATCTACTTATTATGTACAGTTAATTTTCACATATATATGGATTGGCAATCACCAATATGATCACAACCACATTATGCAGTATTTATTATGTTTCTGAAACTAATAATATTCATCTCTGTAACAGCCTGTTTACTTTTACAATCTCGAGTTTATTAAGTCATAAAAAGGTGAAATTCCAATGTTATGCAAACACGAACCCATTGATAAGTTGTTCGACTTGTTAAGCATGTGCGAGGAAAAATCCGAAGACAACAAAAAAAGGTTTTATAAGAAAAATGTAATTTGAGGTGGAAATAAAGCGAGGGTCACGTACGTAAGGTTGATACACGATCGCAATTTAAACCCGACCGGTCGATTCTCCACTTCCCATCCTTTACAAATCTGCCAAGATCGCTGATATAAAAATAGTCTTTAGCGATCTGATATATTGACGATTGTTAAGATCGTTTGTAAATAGAACTGCAAACATATAATAATGGATGTATTTGATAGTAAAGAAATGTATCAAAGTTTTATATTCGAGAAAATGTAAAGTGTACAGGCCATCACATATAAAGCCTATAATAACACGAACTTATCCGCCTAACAAAATCCCCTTTAACTTATTATAAACGATATGTATGATTCAACACAGCGCGCTGAAGATATTTTACTTAAAATTTATGTTTAAAATAAGTTTGAGCGAATGTAAAATATCCACACTGCGCTATCAGATCAACGATTAAACACTAATATTTAATGATTGACGGATGTAAATGCGTACATTTGGCATCGTAATTTGTGCTCTTTGGTTAATGGCAAATAAAAGATTCTATAAACTTAACACTTCATTGTTCAGTTGTAAATTTGACCTATTGTAAAATATGTAAACATATTGACCTATTGAAAATATTTAACTTAATTAATAAATATGGGGTTCATAAGTACGAACCGATTTTCGTTAACCAAATTTTATTATTATTAAAATCTTATATTGTGATTTTATAAAATATGCTGTGGGCCGTGGAGAAATACAATACGACAGTGACCCAATAACATGAACCGAATTTCGAATTTGATTTTTATGGTAATGGTCACGTGACCAAGCGTGAGCTCGTGTCATTTCAGTGGTTGTATTATGACACGTGATCACGTCTGAAGCAAAGTATTTTTCCAAGGGCCCTATTATGATCATTTGCCTGCCCACCTAAGGCGTATTTCTTTATATAAAATAAAATATGATTAAGCTTATATAATAAAAATATTATTGTTAACAGTAGGAAAAATGTACGTAAATTGATTTAAACACGCAATAACTATTTACTAGTCTATATCCAGGTCAATAATTACAAATTAATTTTACATTTCATTTAATTATGCATAAAATGGATATAGAAGTATCGATACGTGACTTACATTAAGTACCACAGAATATCTATTTATTATTATGCTACATTATTACTACTTCCACAATTTTCTACTGTCCTCTATTATTACACCTTGGGCCACACAAAAACGCAAATTTTCCTTAGCTTTTCCAACGAAAAAATTAGGAGAAAGATTTCGTTCCAATAATATTTGTTCAAATTTTGAAACGTAATTTTGCGGGTAGGTCTCTTCCCGAAACTTATGAATCTTTACTACAGTTTTTAGTTTATCGTCTCCTCGGGAGCAAATAGATTTGGTCTATTTTATGTGGCCCATGGTAAGCCCTCAGGCGTTATTCAAGCAAAATGGACGTTTTGTAATACACAATATAAAATTATGTAATTGCACTTGTTCCTAGCTCTTAATTTTGCCGATATAACAAAATACACAAGTATCGTGGACTTAACCTCAGTAATTTAAAAATATAACTATCTAAGGTAAATAACAATGAACACCTTTCTTTATTATTAAAATATTTTTAAATTACTGCGACTGAAAAGTCCGAAGATCCGAATACTTTTCTCATTGTTAACGGGCTCGAGTTTATAAATTATGACAAAAAGTTTTCCTCCGAAGTCTCCGGACTCGACTAAATAATCTAAATTTCAGTGGCTTATTAAATATCTTAAGTACTGGGGGAGTGACGTGGCAGTTCAAACAGTTTGTTACAAAGGTACAAAATAAAATTAATTAACATGTTGTACTTATGTAGATAAATAATACAATAATATTCACTAGATCACGAGCCTCGATAGTACGCCAGGGGCGAGCGAGTCTAAATATTTATTACTCTGAAGTTATTAAGCTCAACTTTGATTTAAGGTTATTTAAAGTATGGTACGTATTTGACGACTTTTTTGACGTTCATAAGTGTACATTGTGTTACCTATATGAATAAATGATTTTGACTGACTTTTGTAAAATTTTAACACAATAGGCTATTTGACAGTATGATAAAAAACGTGTTATTGAGAGTAATCCGTATAAAACACGGCTTTAAAAAATTATATGAGAAAAACAACTTAAAATATTGATAGTCCACTGACCTATATTAGGATTAGATGTTTTGCCTACATGATACTTAAGATTCTAGGAGTTTAATTTCGTCGAAGACTGATTTTTATCGAAATATATGTGTATTTGTGTAATTTAACAATGATAATTAACAGGTCAAATATTTTTACGTGTTTACAAGCATGAGTATCTTGCCAAGAGAAATGTTCGAAATATATGAATGTTCCATTTAAAATGAAAAGCTAATACTTAATAGAACTAAAAGTAACAAATTGTACAGGTTATATAGTCACTAATAAATAATCTAAAATGGTTTTTAAAATGCTGTCAAATAGCCTATTGAAAGCCATATAGCAATAATTATATTAAAAAATTGAATTGTGTTGTTCAGGAAACTACTGAAAGCCCCGAGACAGTATCACAAACATGTAAAACGCATACCCGAAAGAAAGTCCCTCATTGATGCAACATATTGTACACAACAAAACCAGCAGAAGTTACTCCATTTCACATAGAATAGCTATTGAAGTCAACTTTACAACTTAAAATAACTTGACGATATAAAATCAATCTACTATTACCAAAAAACTTTTACTTGAACTCTCTATATTGCAGTGTAAGAAAAATAATAATTGTATTTCCATATAAGATTATGAATGAATTCGCTCACCCGTGGCTAACTACTTCGAACCGCCAATAAGGCTGGCAATTAAACCTACCTGCCTCTCCCTAAGCTGATACCAGTTAGTGTTAAATAAGCGTCGGCCGCTGTAAGTATGAGGACAAGTAAACACAAACCTAAACATCTATGTGGAGCTTGGACGGCGTGTGTGGCACACCCGCTTCCGGCCATTCCATTTCCAGGACTTTCTTCCCGAATCTGCAAGTCAATTTCTTATATTAGTAATTATATTTTATTATTTAAATGCGTTAGAATGGAAACTGTAGAGAGCGCGTTTCGCGTATTTGTAATTGGACGATAGAAACTATAGTTCACGTTCGAGTATAAAATAATTAGATAAGTAAGGAAGGGTCACTCCTAGGAGTTAGTAAGGCCTGCGTTTATATCTGTACTGTATATGTGATATGCAACATACTGTACTGTAGTGTATATATAACCATTCATTTTATTTATATATATAATTGGATTTTAATCACACTAATCACGTACAGAATTTGACCAAAAGCCCTTCTAACCTTAGTTATATATTCCATTGTTTGGATATACATTTTCTAAGACCTCACTTATGTGCTATCCGTAAAGCGGGAATTACATTACAAAATTAGTGGCATGAAATTAATTTCGTGACAATAGTTTCACGTGTAATTCAATATCGTAATGCGTAATGTATGCAATAATTTCATGAATATGTTTCGTGTCCTGCGCGATTTTTTTGATGCCACCCTAAATTCTTATGATAAACACTTAAAACTATTTCCAGTTGAGAAAAAAGAAAAAAGATTTGACGCTGATGGGGCCATGGTTACTGGGATACTGAGGATTTCATGACACTAATTATTTTACGAAGTTACTTTCGCATATATCGAAACTCCTTTCGTGAAACTGATTTCCCATGCATGTCACTAATTTCTTAATGTAATTCCGGCTTTGTAAGTTACAATAGTATTACATAAGCCCCAATTCCTTGCTTTGGTAAGGGACGGCTAAGTTATAGCATGTAATTTATAAAGATTGAAGTAATAGTTATAAAATTTTAAATTTGGTTAACTTAAATATAGTAGAAAATATAAGATGTTAATATTTATTATTGTTATTTATAGTATTTAAATATATTGTTTAAACTAACTACGCTTTCAGTTCTGTTAAAACGTAGATTTATATTTGAATTCGTACCAATATTGACGTTTCCAGAGCTCAGAATATACGAAATATCTATGCAAAGAGAAAAATATTTTAAAATTAAATTGCGTTTTATATCATCAAAACGATTCCAGTTTTGAATGCTTGTATAAAATCATATTTATTCATGCTAAATATTATGTATGTTACGAATGTTCGATTACTAGCAATAACCGTTTTAAGTTAAAAGGCACAAAAGCTTATCTCCTACAATTGATATTGTTTTGTCTAGTGTCAAACATCAGCAGACAACGCTAAAGAAAACATTTAAAGACATATTATATTTTCATGAAAACAATGAATAGAAACGCCAAAGACAGTTGCTATTAACCGGGATTTATTTTAACGGTAAATGGTGCGACCGACAGCCCATAAAGTCTTCCCATCTTTGGTTTCACAACTGAACTGCACTTAACCGATTACTTAGAGTAGCTAAATATAATTTCTTTATAACGCGAATGCACTCTTAATTAAAGCAAAGGTTTTTGTGAGCAAGATAACTAAAAAGATTGATAAAAAAACAAGTGAATTCACAATATTCATATTACGGTACATATGTTGGTCGAAGGATTATGCAGGCGATAAGTGAAATGTAAAGGCAAATTTAAAATAATTATAAACTGTAAAAAATAAACACGTTATGTAAGAAGGTGCTAATCCTGCCTGCATAATTATCGAAACCTTCATTCATTAAAATGGTAATTTTATGGAGGTATCAGAGAAAATATAAAAATCTAAAATAAAAAATAAAAACAATAAATTGTTATGGGACAGATTTTTATACTACTTATATATATAGATTGGTTTACCAATATGATTTTAAGAACTACGCCATTTTAGGTATCTCGTATTTTCGCATTCACCTCGCTTATGAAATTTTTAATGCAGAGTCTGAGAATCGGCTACAATCTATCATTCAAACCCCTGAGTGATAAGGGGTGTCCACTCAAAAAAAATTTCATTTTATTTTTTTATGATACAGCATACAAGCATACTTAATTTTCACCCCTCCTCGATCAACCCCTATTTATATGACAGTTATTTTTATTGAACTAAAATAATGTTTCCTAGAAATAATATAAATACATGGCAAACAACTTTTGCCGGGTCAGCTAGTAATAATATAATTCAAAGTCAAAATAACTCTTTACACGATATATAAAACGTATACAGACAGATTGAACTTACAGCATGTGAGTCGTGCCAGACGAGAGCTAGGTCATCATCTATGGAGTTATGTTTGGGTTCCTCTGGTGGTTCAGGTGGCAGATGGTTATTTTCATTTGTTCCACTCCAAGACGGGATTTCGGGAAACTTGGGGCGTTCAGGTGACGCGTCGTTATCTTGCGGCGGCGTTTCAGTACCGTAGAATATTAACTCCCATTGGCTTAATGGCCCCGCTGTAATTTATAAGGTATGTGAGATTTTGGAAATGGTCTTGGATTTTTGTGTAAATGAGGTGTTCTATAGGGGTTTATTATATGAGTCCAATCAAATACTTATTTCAAATTAATATGAATAAAACAAAAAATAGTGTAATTTATTTTCTTAAACAAAATATATATAATAGGACTCAGTTCTTTAAAATAAATAAAAAGGCTTTTTATTATTTTAATATAAATTAAAAAAAGATGACCTATTGTGTTCTTGTTTAAATATTTTATAAAAGGATCTTTAATTGTATCTCAAAATAATTATAAAGCTAATAATACATGTAAAGTTTAAAACAATTTATAAGGACGTGTGGACATGCTAAAATGTGTTTTGGAAAAATAAGACTGTTATACGTAGCAGTTTAGGAAGGAAGCCTACACTCACAAAACAGCAGCTATCTACTTAGAAATATCTCTATTAAACAGCAAAAACTGCTCTCGCAATTCTACTTAAAATTCACAGAAACCAAACAAATGCAAAAACTACGAAAATCGCAACCTATTTCAAAATAAGCGAAATTAAAAAAAAAAACACAACGTCAGACGAAAATTCCTAATGAATGTTTCACTGAAAAAAATGCGCACACAACATGCAATTGCGGTATGTAGAACAAAGGTAATTGACGTGCAAGTTCGTACAGCTGAAATAAAACGGTCGGCAAACGGACAACATGCATGTACCGTTGGCTTGCAGCGGCGCCGGATATATTCTCTGGATTTTCGGATATTGCTCGAACAGGCTTGACATCTTGCGTCCTCTAGCGTCAGCCAGGGGGTCAGTCAGATCTCCCCGCAAATTCATACTCAAATCTGGGGCCGTCGTTCGCAACGTCGAGCTTTCTATCGGCGAACGAGTTGCCGGACGGCTCTGTTTTGATTTCTGCGCATTTCTGTTGGGATTCTTGGAATTCTTATTCTTTTTTCGCTTCACTAATCCCACTGTATATGTGGGGACTATTGGAATGGTCTTCCCTTTGTTCTTTCGTCCCGCTTGCACTACGACGGGTCTCGTCGCGTTACTCTTACGTATTATTGGATTTCTGAAGGGTATCGGATCGTTTTTAGCAGCCGGTATGCTCGTTCCGTAGAAAGTTAATGACCAGTCTTGTAATGTCGCTCGACCTATGGTATACACAAGGTAAAATGCTTTCCGACTCTCAAAGTTTAAATTGATTCAATTGTAATAGAATTGACACCGGAGTTTAGAAAGATCTTGATTTACAGCTAACGCTTTAGGAGGCTTCAAAGTTGAAATCGATAAAGTTTGTAATCTCCCGTGAGTCAGTAACTAAATTGTATTGCAATTTCTCTCCGATCGCATTTGAGTTGAAACGTTCGCGGTAGTTTCATTATTCACAGGATTTGCTGGTTATAAAGGATTAAGATCGTATATAATTAGTTTGCAAATTTGAGGGTTTATTGTGAAATTAAACTATCGAAATTATTAACTTCCAAAGATTACTTTGTCTAACTACAATTATGAGTTAGATAAGACATTGTTTTGATTGAAGCTGAGATTATTATATACGTTTAGGACAAGAATAAGTTGAACTTTTAACACATTTAATTTTCCTATTATTAGTCTACATACCCATAAATCTTCCCTCATTAGAAACTTCAAGCAGCCACTCGCCAAGGGGTGATTCGCCCCACATGTGAACTGACATGAATGGCCAGGAATTGAACCCAGAGCGGGACAAGTCGTGCTGTCTGGAAATAATCACCTAGTTTAGCTAAACTTAACCTAGTTTCAGAATAGACGCTTTCTCTTATCAAGTTATTTACAAGATGATTTCAGATACAGATGTATGGAATGCCAGTTCAGCAAAATATCATATGTTAGCTAGTGGATTGACCTACTGTGAAAGACGTCAACTACAATGAATAATATTATGCAGATATCAAATTACCGATGATCGGTTGCATTTTACAACAATTATATTTAACCTAGGTCATGGTTGCATTCACCAAAACTGCAATGTATTTTTTATGCTCATGATAGTTCTCAGAATGTGCGCAAGACAGGTAGAGGATAGGATATTACAATCATATAAAAATCAGGAGACGTCACGGAGCAGTAGGTGCAGCATCGGCAGAATCAGCAGCCGGTTTCGCAGTGGCCTCAGGAGAAGCCACCCGGGACCGGACACCGGTTAGGTAGTGCAAGGGACCATGAGCTATGGGACCTAGTGTTAGTGATAGTGCTGTGATTAAAAGTGTTAGCGTAGGCCTAGAGACTGTTAAGCATATAATGAAATCATCTTGTAAAGCACTACATATTCATCTTGCACTTTTGCCTGGGGGAGTATGTACGAGCCAAGGCTGTACATTTTGCTCTTTTGCCTGGGGAGTATGTACGAGCCAAGGCTGTACATTTTACTCGCTCAGGCTTCCTTAGTTTTATAAGCTTAATTATTCACTATGTAAGTACGTGCCAGGGCTCGTACATTCCGATCATCTACAACCGTGATGATTTCCTATGTAAGTACGTGCCAGGGGTCGTGCATTCCAATCACCTACAAGCGTGATGTTTGTCTTATGTAAGTACGTGTCCTGGCTGTACAGTTTGATCACTTATAAGCATGACAATTTCCTAAATCGTCGGAGTCACGCCCCGAGAGTATAGCCCGACGCAGGCACTCTCTTCGACTGTTACAGCAGTCATTCGTATCATTACAATTAACTGTATCATGGGAGTTTCACCCCGGGAGCATAGCCAGACGTCGGCACTCTCTCTGTTCGTTAGATTGCACTTATATATAGCAATTAACATAATAGTTATTATTTCGCTCATATTCTCACGCGAGTGATAAATATAGAGTAAGTTCAAATTATTATATTATTTCGAACCCCTGACGATCCAGGAACCGTACAATACGTATTCAATAAAATGGAGAATTATTATATAATTCTACTTATAATTATTTAAAAAAAAACTAAACTTAAGACCCTTTATAATATTTTTTTTTGTAATCAATAAACCAGTGATGGCCTAGTGGCTTCAGCGTGTGACTCTCAGCCTTGTGGTCGTAGGTTCGAAGCCCGGGTGTGCCCGGGGTGCCCAATGGACTTTCTGTCGGTGCGCATTTGACAGTCGCTCGTACGGTTAAGTAATGCATCGTGAGGTAACCGGCATCAATAAAAACCGAACTGATCACCTTTTAGAAAAACAAATTATCACAAAACGGATACAGAAATCTGAAGCCCAGACCAGATAAAAAGGTTGTAGCGATACATTATAATACACAAAATTATAAGCATGATTGATAACACAGCGTATATAAAAACATCTGAATCGTTGATTATTTTAATGTAGAAAATTTTTACTGCATAAGGGAAATGGAATACTTCAATATCTTCAGGTACTTCTTGAAAATTGAAAGATGTTTAGTTCTTCTTTAAAACGTATAGTATATACGTACATATTTTATAAGATGTTCAAAGCGACGTTATTACTACTTAGTTGAAGGAATACGGTAATGTTTTAAATAAGCTACATGAAACGCGCCAAGCGGCTTTTCTCTGGCTTTACAAGTTCACTGACAAGTTGAGCCACTTAGAACGATTTAATTTTCGAACATAACTTACATATATTAGCTGAATTTAATGTACAAAGGAAGTTAAGAAAACGTTCTATGTAGTCGTTTATTTGATTTACTCCAAATATTTGGGTTCTCGTGACGTAACGTTGAGAAATAAAGAAAGAAAAATTTCATTACACAAAATGAGAAAGTGTACTAGCCCCAACACTAGAATTCCCTGTATCGCGGGAATAGCCCATAGAGAAGAGACTATCTTCTCTCTCTGTCTCTTCCATTTGACATACTTTTATATAAGCGTACTTAAAGTAATAAATTCTACATAACATTTGGTATAATTTTCCTACAGCTGCACGATAAGACAGGTTGAGAAGATATTTTGATTCAAGAGTGAACATTGTTTGTGAGAAAGTAGTTAAAGATGAAAGCGCATTTGAAAGAGAAAAAGCGTAGGGCGTAGCTATGCAATCCGTTGAGTTGCGGTATATGTAGGTTTGCATTGTTTATGATGTGGTGTGGGTATATTGTCATTAAGTCATATAGTAAGTAGTCTAAACGTTTGAAATTTTATATCATCGTACAATTTTGAAGTTTCATAAGCACGCTCAATTTTCAGCGTTGGAAACGATGTCGCTTCACCCCATACCGAGATGCAGTAGGATAATATCGACTGGCATAATGTATGTGACACTATCTTGATTGTATGTGGATCGAAAGGTTTTCTGAGGCATTTGAATGCATTCATAACTTTGCGAACTCGAGAACAAAGGTAATTTATTTGAGGTCCCCAATAAAGTCTCGAATAAATGATTAATACCAGTTCCTCGGTAGTCTTAGTTAATTTCAGGAAAGGACAGTTTTTGTGAAGGTTTAAACAGGAGTGCTATTTATTGGCGGGATGGGGTCTGGTTTGGTAGACTTCGATATATGAAAGCTATGTATTTGAATTTGAACGTATTGAGGGACAGGAGATTATTTGAAAGCCATTGAGTAATTTGGCGAAGACCTAATTGAGCTGATAGTGCGGCTTCTTCCCAAGAGTGTGAGTAAAAGAGTATTGCTGTGTCATCAGCAAAAGAAATGAGTTTGGCATTTGGGAGCTCGAGAGAACATAAATCATTGAATTACACTAAAGCGATGTACTAAGAACACTTCCCTGGGGCAAACCACATGACCACCTCCTCTAATTTATTGCCGTATCCATAAATTAGAACTCTTTGCTTTCTATTGGATAAATAGGACTGAAACCATCGGAGGATGTTTCCACGAATTCCTAGTCTTTCTAATTGTACAAGTAGAAGTGACCTGGAAACAGTGTCGAAAGCTTTGGCTAGAGTAAGAATAATACCAATATACCTTTGTCCTTCGTCTTAGTTTTAACTTATAGTCTCAACTATTCCAGCAGTTACATCTTCTGTAGATCAATTATGTCTGAACCCAAACTGTTTGCAAGCATAAGTTCTTTTTCTAAGTAATTAGTTATTCAGACGTAAATTATTTTTCTGTAGTTAAAGCGAGGGTTGGAAGAAGAGAAATGGGACAGTAGTTTGAAATTTACATTTTATTGCCTGCTTAATAGATGGATGTGATATTAATTATTTTCTAAGGAAAGATACCTTGCTCAATACTAATTTTGCAAATATAAGAAATATTGACTCTCTGATATCCCAAATATATTTTTTGTTACCTGGGCGTCAGTAAAGTGACCCGAGTACCAGCTGGCGAAGTGAGTGTGATACGTAGGTCACCACGACGAGTTGCCGATAACGATACTCGCGCTTGGACATGCTCTAGGTAGTTTACCCCGGGGCAGGCGCTCACGTCCAACTGAAATTAAATTAAGTGATAAAAAAGTAAGGTATTTTGAAATTTTTTCTTTGTTTATTTATCTAGACAGAAGACTTAGAAGCGACTACAATTAATAATAAAATTATATAACTTTGATACATACAATATCGAGTGTTGTCATAATGAATTTGGTTAAGCTTACTTTAAATAATTATATTATTTTACTAGCTGGCCTGGCGAACATCGTACCGGTTAACAGTCGATTCTTTATTTTTTTTTAATACTTATTCTGCTATTCGGGACACCGGTCTAGCTAGTAAAATAAAAAAAATAAAACTTTCTTTTATAAGACAACAAATACATTATGTCAAAAAATAAAAATTTACCTTCCCGAAACCCCTCCACTAACACTTGACCTTTATAATATGGTATTAAAGTTCAAATTGACTTTTAAGTATATTTTGTATGGGAATATAGAAAAGTGTTGATTTTAGACTTTTTCACTCAATTTTTTTTATTTTTCTCTCCGTAAGTACCATCCTCGTACTTCAAGGAATATTATAAAAAAGAATTAGCAAAATCGGTTCTGCTCCTCTCGAGATTTGCGCTTAGCAACACATTCCGCGATTCATTTTTATATTATAGATATTTTAATAAATAATGTTGAATACATGTAACCGCTATTTTACATTAAAGAACTTTTAGAGGCCACATAGAGAGTAGAGCATCGAGCTGCAAAATGTGCCACCCCGATATGTGGTTTTACAATATATGTGTAAAAAGCATACTGCAGCAAAATACCGCTACCGCTAATATAAAATAAATGTCTAACAGATTAAAACGCTAAATGGGTTTACGAAACGCCGAAGTCAAATTTTACAATCACTCTTGCTTCACAGGAAAGGAGGAATATATACCTCCATTAATTTCCTCTGGTTTCCAAAATCGAAGTTATACAGGAATGAAATAAACCTAAAAACTTTGAATGACAGCTAAAGGCCTCATGAAACGTTAGTACTCATTGTTTTTATAAGACTCGAAAACAAGATCATCACATTTAACCTTTTTAGTAAAGTTTTTGTATGGACTGCTTTGTTTTTTTTCTGTTAGTGTCTCTTGGTATATGTCGAGTATACTAATTATTCATGTACATGCATGTTTTGTGTCTTTTAATGTAATGTTTTCTTAAGTAAATTGTTAGTATGCTTTGTATGTAAATAAATAAACATAGATACTAATCTCTTTTGAACCATACAAATAATCACATACTAACCCGTAAAGATATTGACGACTTCGGTGGTACAGCTCTCTGGGGCGTTGAAGCGGCCAGTTCACACCTTCGTTGCGGAGGTACTGTTTTCCAAGACCTGGCAAGTCGTACCATGCCTGCTGCATCGAGAAGGCCGTAGCCGAACGAATGAGAAACGTTCCGACCGACACCGTTCACTCGCCATTCACCACCCGTGCTCAGTCGTTCAGGTCGTGCTGTTCGAACCACTGTTGACACGATATTAATTTAAGTATCTTACTAAAAATACTTCTACTTTAAAATAAGTAGAAATTTACTACTTAATCTAACAACCGCTTATATATCCAAACATATTATCATTTCAATCGTAATATACCACTTCATATACTCAAATTGTGTACCTATAAAAGGTTATTTTTTTGGTTATAAGGTTGTAATCCCTGGAATTATTTAATTTATTTCGGTTTTTCACCTCACATATGAAAACGCTGTGTAGTAGAATTGTGTTAGAACAACTACCTGCTACGTCTTGATCTCTACAAAAATGCAATAGAATATTTTTAACTTTTGTCATAATTAAATGATGTTTGAAGTTATAATATTTTCACACACAAAATTGAATAATATTTATTCCATTCAAGTATATGTGTTTATCTGTATTTCACGTAATTGAATAAATTTCTAAGCTATTTATTTTTTTTAGATAGTTTTTATTAAAGAAAGCTCCGGCATTTAATTTTACAGGTTATTTATTAAAAGGTCAATTTTAGTTACAAATACATAATTTAAACATACTATCTATATTTTATTTCGTGTAAAATTTGTTTTACTATATTCATGCATGTCTTAAAATAGCTCCAATTAAGCGATAATATTTCGCAAACAATACGATTAAATTGTTCCTAAAACTATTTCAGTTAATTTTCACATACATCAGAAAATTAATTTAAAGCAAAACATTCATTAAGAATAATTAACATTAACATATGTTTGCATAATTGTAATACAAACACATTGTAATTTTCAAACCATACTATTTCGTGTCATTTGAAAAAAGGCAAAATAATTAATTTATTTTTATGATTTACGAAAAAGAGATTTATATAGATTATAAACTTCGAGGTTTCTAAAAGTTCGTCTTTTACTGTCATATTATTTCTGTGTCTACGCTGTGATGAAATAGGACAGACGAGAATACCTCTTATTCTTATAATAATTGTTCATTGTCAAATATTAACATTATTTAAAACTCGAACTTCGAAACGTAAATATAAACACTGACTTTTAAAATACAGTAAACGAAGTATAATTACATTGATTCTAGGTAAAACTTAGTCATATGGAAAGTCCATAGAAAACTAATATTGATTTAACCGCGATCTTCTAGCCATACAGATAGGGAACAAAGGATATGCAGTCTAAAAAATCTTTCTAGTTTATATGCTCATTTTCTTTTGTATGTATATTACGTTTCACTGATTTAGTATTTTTGTATTAATATTATTACTAACTTATTTTATAATGAGCAAGCAAGACCGTTAATACTTTATTCACGCGTTAACAGGAAGCAATAAAAACGTAATTATAATTTGAATACGTTGTTATTATATATTATATAATTTGTTTATTTTTAACTCGATTAAACCGGTTTGTTTAATCTTTTTGTTTTCAAAATGAACGTGTTTGTTATTATCTGTGAAATAAAAAAAAAATTGGCGAGTATTAAATAGCCTACGGTCTAAATACTACTATGACAAAAAATAACGTGAAGAATGGATTTGGATTTTCGATTCGGATAAACTTATCGCTATGTTGATTACTGAAAATTCCAATCAACGAAAATATAAAATTTAAATATTAAAAGGAATAAATCTTGAAGATAAATAAAAGGATATAAGTTTCAAAGATAATTAAACCATTATGTATTAAGTACTGGAATAAATTTTCTCAAAAATACTGTATGTATTCCAAATATGCATATTGTTTTTTTTGCATATTATTAAATTAATCTTCAATAAGCAATCAGATTAAAGTAAATTAATTACCAATAATTGTTTTTGATAATATTTATTTGAATTTGCGATTAGTAATTAAACATTCGTAAATATGACTGACTTTGCGAAGAGCAGCTTATTTCGCAGGCAGCTTTTTCTTTTATCACATAAAGAATATGTCACACAACCGGCAAAGAAAATAGGATTACCGTTTATCTCGTGCCAAATCTTTCTGTGAAAGCATTTTCCGCTAAGAAAGTAAGGCGATTTTACCTTGAAATAGTTAAGTACATCTTAAGTCAAATGGAACGGAAGTGAATGTTTAAAAATATTTTTCTGTTTCCAGTTGAAATCCAGCTTTACCGTAATTGTTTGAGTTTTATTTTACTACGTCGTTCGCTTCTAACAGACGTAGATTTTGTCGCGAAAGTAGACTAACGCTGTGTAATGTATTTCGTCACTTTTTTATGTTGTATGTGATGCATTCTCTCAATGGTTTGTCGTCCCGTGTTGGTTCTTTGAACAAATAAAATGTTTCAAAAAGCTTGCTAGAGGAAAAGTTACTTATACGAATTCTGGCCTGTTTTTACCTGTGAGCAATTTATAGTACTTCGTAGTAGGATTAGGAATACAATATATATACTAATATTAAAGAATTTACAAAATACATTATTTGCATGTTTGCAAAGAATAACCTCAACCTCAGGAAAATGTAATGTAAAATTAGTCCCAATCCCGTATTCGAAAATTCTTTAACAATTAGAATGATTCATTATTGCTGAGTAACATAGGTTGTATTTAACACCGGGACAGACCGCTCATTCAATAATAACAATACTTATCACAGGTAAAAAATTACAATAAACTTCCATAGAAGTTCTTCGGGTATGATAATAAAAAAGGTGCTAGTACATATACACAATATACATATTAAGCTTTCTTATTCCTCAATTATTTGCTCGACTAAGGTCGTTATTAGTAACACTTTTTTCATATTATTATAGTAGCGCGCGTATAGCGGACAAAGGAAACACTTACCAATATGCTGCATATCCCTCCACGTGAGTTCCTTATTGGCTTGTAAGGCTAAAGCACAAATTCCCGCAGCAAGGGGAGCAGAGGCTGATGTACCCGTGTGGCTTGTTGTACATGTGTGATGTAGATCTGTAGTTACCACCTAGACGACAACGTTTAAGTAAAAATTAATTATGACTACATCAAGTTGTTTGAATTAAGAACAGATTACATATTTATACTACAAATTGATAAAATTTGCTTCTGACGTATTAGCGACTTTTACTTATTTAATACAATTTTTAGTGAAATTTAACGTCGTATAACAAATATGTTATGAAGCTCAATAACGTCTTCTAACTAAAAATATATGAGGAAGTCAGTTGGATAAATTTTGGCGAAGAGGTTTAATTTAGCTTAGAAAATACTTAAATGTTTTTTTTATTACATCACTGAGACATCATGGAACATTACGATCTAGCCTAACTAAAGACTAATAAGTAATTTAAGTCTAACCTAATTTATTATTAAGGATATTTATCATAAGAAAGTGTCCAATAACACTACTTACAGTCTCTATTAAAGAGACTCTGTTCTTGTGTTCTATTTTTAAAAATACTTAAATAAATCATTTTTAGATGTTTTTCAACTCTTGAAATGTTATGTTATGTTCCTTTAATAACCAAATTTCTATTATTTAGTAATTATCTCCATTCATAGTTCCCTTTATTCGATAAATGAATATATTAACGTTTTCATAGTATTGTGGTTAGTATGGTATTCTTTGCACGATTCTACATTGTAAATAGAATAGTTCAGAACAGAACAGAATAGTCCATATTCAGTTAGCTTTTAAAAACAGAGAATATAAAAATAACGAATGTTTTAACAAAGTTTCAGACTATACGGAAAGGTCACCTCATTTGTTTTATACTAGTTTATTTAAAAATGTATAAGCATATTTATTACTAATTAGCACGTACGTTCGTCTTTAGTATAGTAGAAGTTTATTAAGCTGTTAATCTACAGAAAATGTATATTACAATAAATATATTTCTCAACTTTGTTTTTCACTGATAAACCCAATTACGCCTATGAGGGGTTTATCAAATCTCAAAAATTAAAAAACTTCTGAAATCTTGTATTATTTCTTAATAGACAAGATAGTGGATGTTTATGATCAGCTGTCCTATTTGTAAAATTAAAATTACATTTATTATTTTTAAAAGAACATCGTTTAAAATTTAATATTGTCATTATTATATTTATATGTAAAGGAATGTGGCGGTGTGGTTTTAATTTAATTAAGAGGCTTACGATTTTACTGGTAATTTTTATTCATTGTTTTGAGGTTTAATTCAGTAATTTTTAACGGTAAAGAGCTAATATCCTAATCCACATATACAATTCGGAACACAATCACAGATATATTTATAAAATGTCTTTCTTAAATTATAACGACATGTATAAATTTTTTTATATAACAGGTGGCAAACGGGCAGGAGGCTCACCTGATGTTAAATGATACCGCCGCCCAAACAATCACATCACCAAAGGGCGCGCAAGTGCGTTGCCGGCCTTTTAAGAATTGGTACGCTCTTTTCTTTCTCATTGTTTTAAATATTTGTTTAGTTACCTAATTCATCGTCTTCCATAGGCATTTTAAATTTTAATGGAAATTATATAACATTTAATATATCTAATAATATATTTTATTCAACTTGATTTAATGCATTAAATGTAAATATATATAGCGATGTAAGTTTCAAATCTAACTAAACAGATGTTCCGAGTTGTCACAATGTTTTGTGAGGAAAATTCGATCATACAATTCCAGGATGTTCGGAATGAATTGTACCAGGAATTTCAGACAATTTAATAAAAATTGTTGAAGCCTTGTTGTAGACATTTTACAGCTTTCAACAAAAGCGAGCAGCGTTGTCAGTTATAAAGTTACATTATAAATAGTTGCTAACTTGGCCCCGGGAGATAAAAGAGATATGGTTGTTTATTGTTTTCGTACTTTAAAATATCATTTTTACATAATATTTAGTAGGAAGTAATTCCTAATATAATTAACAGCGTGCACAATCGGATAGACAGCATTTTTGAAGTGGCCCCTTCATGACGAAACTATGTAGTATATATACTGCTCAAAACATTTATGGGAACTAAACTTTAATTATTACTGGCCACTAGATAATGTTAAGGCATTGTCGAAGAAAATAAAAAACAAAAGAGCATCGGCGTTTTGGTTAGTAGTCCTATAATAATAATAATAATAATAATCTTTATTTTCTTCTCTCACATACATAAGGTTTTTATGATTAAAGTAAGATTATAACATTAGGAAGTGTATGTGAGAGACTGGTTAATAATAAAGTGGCAGTGTGTCTAGAAACACCTAAAAACAAAGTGACGTCTTTGAATTTTCATTACTTTCTAATCACAGAAAACACATTTGAAGTAGTTTTTTTCAATCTTTTGAGTATTAATAGAAATTGAAGTGAGCCTTTTGAGTATTGTTATTCATTGAAGCGAGTGAGTTTAGGTCATAGTGCCAGATCTGACTGAATTGCATGTCTCCCGAGCTATCGCTTTGCTTGAAGTGGGTCGAACTGTGCGTTATGTAGGAAATGATCTAGGAGTAGCCCCTTCTTTTATCTACAGACTTTGGAAGCGATACCTGAGACGGGAGAATACTCACGAAGGCGTGGTCAAGGTCGAAAGAGAAAAACTATCATGTTTGCAAGATCGCTACATCGTCAAAGACGTGCTTTATCGTAACCGCCCACAACTTAGCAAGAGATCTACATAATTACACTAATACACAATGGTAAAACGGCTACTGAAGTGTAGAAAATTTTCAGGTGACCAGAGGTAATTAATATCTATTTGTTGAGAAAGCCAGTAGTTTTGGAGAATCAATGCACGACCAGTTCGGACTGATGAGTCTAACAATTACAACATAGAAATGCTGCGACGACAGTTCGCGTCATTAAAAATAAATCGCTAATGAAATAAAAAGTCTTAAAGAAATTGGAGGTTCCATTTGTTTTTAATGACGAGAATAATAATAAAGATTCCATCTAATTAATGTTGAGATGGTAACGATCTTCATTGATTTAAAGACGCTCCAGGCTGATTATTTAATTGAAGCAGCATGTCCAGGAATCAAAGACAAATTTTAGAATGGCCGTGATGGTACATAGGGCGCGGATGTTATTTTGGAAGATTGCACAGATCTCGTCAGTTGTTCACCGGGCGCTAAATGATACCGCCGCTCAAACACTTACATTGAAAAGTGCTCAAAGCTCATGTCTTGGCCCGCAGCATATGGTATGGCCCATTTTCTTTCTCAGTGTTTTAAATACCTGTCCAGCCTTACTGCAGCCAATTCAGTCGCTTACATACGACATTGTAAATCTTGTAATGGAAATTACATAACATATAATATGTCAAAAATCTTTTATTCAGCTTGATACATGTATATAGGGACATCTATATAGGCGATCGTAAGTTTCAAATGCTACTCAAACAGATGTTCAGCAGTTCCTCACGAAGCGTTGTTGTGAAGAAAATGCGATCATAGAATTCCACAAGAAGATGTTCGGAATGAATCATACTAGGAAGCTTGCCGACGACGTAATAAGGCATTGTTGAAGGCCTTGTTGTAGGCACATTTTACTGAAAGCTTTCAACAAAAGCAGACGAAGTTGTCAAAGATATAAGTTACATTATAAATAGTTGCTTGACTTGGCCCCGGGATATAAAAAGAGATATTAGTTTTTTGTTTTTGTACTGTAAAATATCATTTTTTAATAAAAAAGTAGAAAATTATATTTTAATTTAAGCGTAAAAATCGGATAGAAAAATCTTTGAAGTGCCCCTAATTGTACGAACAGTTATATATAACCCATATAACTAGTAAAAAGAACCAGTGGCGCTACAATCCTTGGAGGTTTAGTCTCAGATTTATGTATCTGTTTTGTGATCATTTTACTTTTTATAAAAGTTAAGTAGGTTTCTTCACGAAATTTTCCCCCACCATACAGCGAGAGTTATGTTGGCACATAGACAGAAAAGTCCATTAGTGCACAGCCGGGGTTCGAACCGACGACCTCAGGGATGAGAGTTACATGCTCATGCCGCTAGGTCTACTACAAATAACAAACGTGCATTTTAACGTGATAAATGTTCTTTTTTTTATTTTTAAGTTTATATTCAGTTGTATAAAATTGTTTCTTAGATTATCCTACTAATTTTCTATTTGAAGTTTTTGATTTGTCTAGTACTATCAATATTATGATTGTTCAACTCATATATTGTAAAGAATAATAAGCACTTTCTTCGATACAATTTTCTTATGTTATCGTACCTAGTAATGCCAGCTAGAAATCATATTTTCGAGTGAAATGGAGTTAAAGGTATATTTTTTCTCAAATATTAAACTGACCCTTTCTATAAAATTTCCGTACCGGGTTATAACCAAATGTATCACCTGCTTCTCAAGCACAGCTCCACTACTGTAAGTCGCAGCGAGAGTAGAGCTGCACATTTCTGAGTACCACGGAACCTCGCCTCGTTCAGTGGCCGAAGATATTGACAAAGTCCAGATAGAGTTTGTATATCCATCACAATTGCAGTTGTCGTGCTCTCTGCCCCCGTTACCCGAAGCCCAAACAAATATAGAGCCCTTGCCATTACGACCCTGTAAAGGAAGGGATTTTTTTTATTAAAATCTGTTTTTTGTATTAAAACAATAGTACTGAGTATTGAAGTGTATGCGTTCATAATGTGTTGTTACAATACCGCATCACTCAAGTCTAAGGGGCAAGGTTCAAGGCCTAGCCCGAACTATCTCTGCTCTCAAAATCCTATGAATTTTTGACAGTTGTGGGTGTTATTTAGCTGTTATAGTACTAAACTCGTAAACAAGTCCATCCTACAAATTTTAATTAAGACATACAGAAGAAAATATAGGACCCGTTTGTTTGGTAACTATGAGATTGCTATCTGCTACTGACGGGTTCCAAATATGGAAAATATTAAATATTATCATGAGTTTGATGATTGGAAAGCTAGTATGTTATGGCATGTGTGAAAAGCTTTTATGTTTTTTAATTGCAAAAGCTGCAGCGGAGATTGAGAAGTTTCCGACAACCTTTTAACTGAATTATCGAAAAAAGTTATGAGATTTTATGGGTATGAAATATTTCCAGAACTCTCGGGCTTTATAGCTGTCGGAAAATTGGTACCCGTTATTTTTTGAACGCTTTCGTATTTTTCGCCATTACCGATAATTTCGAATTCTAAATAATACAAATTTCATTTGATCTAACTCAGAAATTCTGGTATAGCATCGATCGTGCCATTGTTATGATACTTAATGGGACATAAACACTAAATTTTCCGACATAAAATGTAATTATAATTCAATTTGATTATTGAGATTTTAGATCAAAGTCATATCAAGAATGATATCGAATCGAAAACCCAATTTATTTTAATACACATTTGAAAACACATACCAGAATCATATAAATACTATGAAATGGTAGAAAAAATAAAATTAACTTAACTTTTTTGAAATTTTAAAATCTTACACATGACAGTATTAATTAAGGAATCCATTTATAATTTAATTATTTCGTGCATGGGTTTGTTGGGTTTTATGAAACATACCCGGATAATTTTGATGGATAATGCTTTCGAATCCAATCCATCATACTCAACCAGATTAATCACAAGTAACTAGTACTCAGCATCTAGTAATATAAATTTAACTTTACAAGGCAGAATCATCATCATTTAAGATAACAATTATGATTTATTATTTGATTTCTGCATTATGGGCAAGTATCTATGAAATAGAATGATAATTAATAAAATAAAAAATAAAATAAATAGAAATTAATTTAATTCAATTGCACGTTAAAATAACGTTGCTAAAAAAGTTAATTACTCAATAGAGTAGTAATTGAATGCAACAAAGGCACAACAATATTGTTATAAATTCTGTGGGGTGTGTAAAATATGTGGGTATAATTCATGTGACATTTTGAAGATTTCTAATTCACATAAATTCTATAGAAAGGATGTAAAATTAAGACCTTGACAAACACTAAGAAGAGATTTACACACATTCTTACTGTGAAAGGATGATGTAATGAAAAATAATGCCCGTAATCCAAGGAAATTGCTTTTGTTAGACATAGATTTACTTCGGGGATGTAATAAAGCGGCTGCGGAGACGACAAGATAAATCCTTGGTAGACGTTGCTAAAATGAACTCTTTATTATGTAAATTTTATGCCATCTTGACCATACCGTATGGGAAGTTGTTAGTTAAAATAATTGCGTCATTAAAGAAATTATTCTCGCCTCCCTAGCAGCCGAGTCAACGGATACTAAATTGCTCGCATAATATACCCTAATTTCAACTGTATGACGGGTATATAACATTCAATGTTGAATAGCAAAATGAGGTTAAATTCAAGTTGCGAATTTAAAACAGCTGTGACATTTCATTAAAAGTGAATAGAGGAGTGTTTCTGCAAAAGGGCTTATTAATACTCTGGTAACGATAAATAACGGGTTGTTAAAATTTTATTGTAATTATTTGAGAGCTTATGAAAACCATTTTCTATTATACCAGTAACGAATGTGAAAATTTCGTTGGTTATTAAGTAATGAATATTAGATTATCATTTAAAAAATGTATTACTTAATAATGTTTATACAGAGATCTATCTATTACATTGAGTCTACACTCATAAGTAGAAGGCCTAATTTATAGACGAGTAGGTGGTCATACTGTAATGAAAATATTTTATTATTTTTTTCTGTAAAATTCTTGTGGAGGTTAAATACAGATACAGATAATTAGAAACAAAAACTAATGCTAAACGGTGTTAAATTCTCAGCTGGCTACTAAATATAATATACATCATGTTCGTACTTTTAATATCATTAGCGGCCTTTTCTAAAGAAAGTATAAACCTTTGAAGCAAAGAAGCTCGCGTCGTAGACATTTCGTAGCATAGCTACGGACGTAGCACGTGTAATTAGTTTTAAGATATTGCTTTTTGCTATTATAAACTTGATTATATGCAAAGAATCCTTTTGCCTTAAAGCATGATTAAATTTCTACCTTAGAAAATTTAAATTAACAGCTTAAAGCTTTGAAGGTTGTTTTTCTGTTCTCTGATAATATTATAAATCTAAAACCCTTGTCTTTTGTTTTGAGAAATTTAACTATAAATATAGATTTTACTTCACATTTTATTTTGCGTCTTGTATTCGCACAGATATAAGCTGCGCTAAAATTCGTTATATTCGATATTTTGTATAAACGTTTATACAGAAACATTGGTATTTAAGGTGTCTATAGAATTTTTTATAAAATATTCCCAACAATGTACAATTATCGCTAAACTAGGCATCATCATTAAATAGGAGATTAATATAATATTGCCTCATCGCCCCTACCATTACCCATACAAGAACAACTTCTATAAGGCAAACATAATGCCGAGTGTAAAACGGTATACGTTACATAATCCATTGCACAGACCTAATTCGTATACGACAGGTTCGATCCTACGGGGGACTGTGCATTCAAGTTCATGGCACTTGTTCCGTTGAAATACTCATCAAACCGTGCGACACTATTGACAGCTGTCAGTTTTACGGACAGCCTTTGAGACCATCCCAAAGTGTATAGTGTGCATTGCAACCTAACAACAGTGGAACGTGGTATTTTACTGTAACGGTGTACAATCTTAGTGTTTCTGTATCACAAATTCACATACTAATAAATGAGCATTGTCGAGAAGTCAGATTATTCATACCCCAACAGCTTAGCATTGCATTTCCTACCTTATTAACACCTTCAATAAACGCTCTCGTTGCCAGTTCTCCAGGTCCATCAACGGTCTTGCCATCATCATCAGGACCCCAAGACGCGCTGTAGATGTCAACGTGTTGCGGATTCAGACTTAATGACCTAGCTTCGACTGCGTCAGTCACATCACCGTCCAACATTCTGACACCTGAAATAATTTACAACTATGAGTATCTACGTAAACTTTCTTTAATCCCAGAACATAATTCGATGATCCCAATATCCTTGTCAATACTACATAGAAAGTAATTACGTTTCAAATATTATCTTTGTCATTATTTAATTAGTAGTTTTAACATTATTTAATTACTATACAATAAATTTCGCAACATCGCTTGGTAAACTTAAAAATTAAGATAATAATAAAATATCCTTAATCTTTACGAAATATTTAAAAGTTAATTGACCACTTAATACTCGCTTAAAGTTAAACAAGGTTCGACATTGAAAATTGATATTCTATAATTTAAATATTAAACATTTAAAAGGGTTCGCGGTTACGCGACCATGTCTTAACGATGTTTCAGATTAAGCGAAGTTTTTAGCATTTTTTAACCATAATCTCTAATTATTCACTACTTTACAGGCCAGATAATAAAGGTTTTTTTACATCATTATGCGCTATGGTTAATAATATTTACTCCGTATAAAAGATTTTTTTATTACATGAGTCTTTACTAAGTCGCCATGGAACATTACGATCTAGCCTAACTTAAGACTAATAAGTAAAGTCTTACCTTATTTACTAATAAGGATGTTTAACATAAGAAAGTGTCCAATAACACTACTTACAGTCTCTATTAAAGGAAACTCACAGGACACTCGGTTCTTGTGTTCTATTTCTATTTGGTTGATAATAATTTTTTGATATAAAGAATTAATATCAATAAAATTAATTCAAGCATCTATTCGACGAAATTGGATATTGTATAGCTGGTACATTTCCAAATGTCTTTATTGGTCTGAAACTAATTATGCAAATTTGATAGCATTCAAACGGTCACTTTACCGTCCAATGCCTTTGTAATTGACTTTATAGTTTATGTACCTAAATTATATCTGGAATAATTATTGTTTATGCTAATTATAGAGTTACAGAATATTATTTACTAAAATTAAAATCAACTTTCTTAGACAAACGTATATTGTATAAATATGAATCATAATTATAGTATTTTTAATACCCAAATTTGCAACGTTTCAAAGTCATTATAACACAAAGTATGGTATAGTATATAAGAGTATCCTCTATAAAAAGGAATACTTGCTAGCTAATACATAGATTTGCTTTTAAATATATTTTTAAATGAATATAAAAAAAGAAAAAAATTCATAAAACGTTGTCCTTTCTTCGTTACTAATACTCAAAGGGTTATAAGAGCTTTCAGAAGAGGGAATCCATTGTGTGTATTAACCTTTTTTTCTACGTGATATTAGGTCCCGCCCAAAACGTTTACTCAGATCCTATTCAACTAAAGAAAATAACTGTTTCGGGGAACCTCACTATTTTTATATCTATGAGACCTTTACAGATTTTACTTTTGTCCCGAGCTCGCGCTTATAGCCGAAAAACGATGATAATATATTTCTGTATAGTATTTATCAAGGCCGAGCAATTTTATAAGTAATTAAAACATTTTGGGCAAAAACAAATTTAGTTTTTTTTTTTAATAATACCCTTTCTACTCCCCTGCCATTGTGTCCAGGGACTTTTTCTATATCTAAGCTTCACATCACACGTCTCGCGAAATACGCCCCGGCTACATCTGTAATATTTTTGTTTACAATATTCATGGGCGAGCCGGGACGCAATTCCTCGTTTTGTTTGCCGCCTTAATATATTTAACAATTTTATCGCAGAACCGTTCCAGGCACGATCTGTGCTTTATTGACATGTCCTGTAGGCCGCTACGGTCTACAGTCATCTGCATTTGTTGCTGCAAATTTAGATTACTGGCACCGGGTTTGACGTTAAGGAATTAAAAGAGCAACAGTTTTTTATTCTTAATTTTCAGTCTAGCATTGTCCTATTACTTAATGTTACACTAACTTTAATGACGTCAATAGAAAAAAGATTTATACGTACTACAAGGAATAATTATTACCGCGATACTGGGATAAAGAAAATATTTTTAATTCAGTCAAGGCCTCATAATGACTCACTTATCTTGTAGCAATAGATTTTACAAATTGTCTATCAGCATTATGTGCTGTTGCGTGTTAATATAAAAATGTATTAACAATAAAATTAATAACGTGTCGATAGGCCTTTATTGTAAAAGCCCAAAAAGTTTTCCCAGTTTTACGTTACTTATGTATTTCACCAGTTTCCAATTAACAAAACCAATAATTAATCAACGGTATAATGAGTATAATGTTCCAATAATTCACGTTAATCTTAACCACGATATTCATTTAAGGTGTTTATATTTAGTGCTCTCATCTTAAAACGGCAGAATTAATTTGCATAATTTCAGCCGATGTCTGAATAACGGAGTTAAAATCCCATTAACATAAATTAATAAACATGTAGAGATGAGGCAGCATGATAATAGAGTTCTTTTATTGCATGACAATTTGAAAGCAAGTTCCCACATATGTGTCTTCTGCATTGATACTTTCTTATATCTATTTGTCTTTATTTTTTCTCTTTACCTGCTTTCTCATATTAATGGAAAATGGGAGAATCTATTTAAACCTGGGAGGCTTGCAAGAGCCAACCTTTAATTACGTTTTTTAATTTTCTTAAATGCTTCTAACGTCCGGTCTCACAATCTAAAATCATAGATATTGTAATGTGATTGATTTTTGCTTTTTATTGTTATTAATTTCTATAGACTAATTTTGTTTTGCCAATCTTCAAGACTAGTCAACTGCAAAGCAGATGGGTTTTTCAATATGAAATTAACATTTTCTTATAAGGAATTCGATACGAAATAATAAAGGAAATCGTTGTTAGAAAACTAAATCCTAAATAAATAACACGCGTGTGTGGGCAGTAAAATATCAATGAAAGGAAGAAGTCTGATATCAACAAACTATTTGTCGTAGCGTCATAGATGATGTTTACAAATGATACATTAGATATTACTGCTTGTAAATTAATCCATACTAAACAAAGTAAACATACGAATATTATGTTTCACAATATATCAAAATGCATATACTAATTAGTGCTAGATAACAAGGAAGTGTTGGATGTTGATTATGCCCAATTAGATTAGAGATTGAACACATCTCAATATCATTTGCACGTCCTGAATAATTATTATAATCAAATGATATGGTATTAAAATTAATAATGCATTAAGAGCAGTGCTGGCCTGCAGCTCTCATCCCTGAGGTCGTAGATTCGATCCCCGGGTGTGCATCAATGGACTTTATGTGTGCATATAACATTTACTCGTGTGAAGGAAAATATCGTGGGGAAACCGGCTTGACTTAGACCCAAAAGGTCGACAGCGTGTGTCAGGCACAGGAGGCTGATCAACCTAATAGATTGACAAATGATAATGAAACAGATGCAGAATCTGAAACTTAAAAATGTTGTAGCGGCACTGATTTTTTTATTTAATAATGCATGCATTGAACATTCAATCCTACGTAACATATTAAATTGCGAATTTTATAATCAGTTTCAATTTCCTGCTAAACAAAAGTTATTTTGACTAAATTATGTTTCATCTTATAGTAAAAAAATTGATTACTAAACGCACTTTATTAATTGTTTAGTCGTAACTTAACGTGTCAAGTAAATCATTATATTTTATCTTCATCATAATTGGTGTTTAGCACATTATCTTTTATGTACCTACTAGAGAATGCGCCAAAACCAGAACGTATATAATGAATTATGTAGGTTTCCACTAAACTAAAAAAGTTTCAAAAGGTAAAAGGCCGGCAACGCATTCGAGAGTGTCCATGGACGGCGGTATCAATTAACATCAGATAAGCCTCCTGCCCTATTGCCCCCTTTGGGAGCGTTCAAGTATTACGTAACGAATTTTGGGAGGGGGGGTCCTTTTATAAAACGTAACGATGCGGGGCGGGGATTGAATAACGCGTTATTGTTAATATTATTTTCGACTTTTCAGTGCTTTCACCACATAATAGTAACTTTTAGGTATAAAGAGTCACTAGGTGGTCGCTATACAGAAAAACGTTACGGCGCGAAACATGGGGGGTGTCAATAATCTCCAAAAATTGCGTGACGTAATACTTGAACGGAACAGAAAAGGGGTTTCTGTAAAATAAAGGTATATATATACGTATACCTATACTAAATTATATATACCTAAATTAATAGAAGAAATTACATACCACCAACACTGGCTTCATACGCAACACCAACAGCGCATAATGAGTTGTTAGCTGTGGCAGCTACTTCTCCGGCGCATCTGGTTCCATGACGGTTGGAGTCGATCATGTCATACCGTGGTTGAGGATCTGAGTCGTGTGAATTTACGTCATATGACGCCATTGGATCCTGAAAATTATATATGGTTAGGTTTATATAATTTACAAAGGAAAATGTTTGTATTTATTTATTTAAAAAATTGTTTATTCATAAACAATTCGTAATAATGTGTAAGATTTGGGAACACTATTAAGTAAAAATACCTGTGTCAGGGTTCCCAGCTCTTCCATAACAAACTTAATAGTACTTGTATATTATCATTTGTTTTTCATTTGCGTGTTTATATTATATAAGTCGTTAGTAGATTTTAAAGAACATTCAGTTTCAAATTTATTTGACTATATGAAAAAGGAAAAATGTGTTTAAGACTAGGTAATGATGCCACTATATTTTTTATATTTCTATACACTGACAGTGTTAAATGCAATAAATTTTAAAAATACAGTTATTTTTTATTGGTACAATTGTAATAAACCCCAGTTATCGATTTATCCGATACCAAAGTGCAAAATCAGAACATATTGTGAATCGACGATAAATCGATGCAATTCACAACTTTGAACGAAATCGTATATCTCAGTGTCATGGAAATATATTCCATTTCACAAGAGAATATTCATGATAAAGGCGATTTACACATTCGATACTATGATCCGCATTTCAAAAACCCGAGACAATGCATACTGCATTTCAACTAACGATATGCAATTTGTTTTTCCGTAGCTCTGCAGTATTAGCCTAGTGGCTTAAGCGTGTGACTCTCAACCCTACGCTAAAATCACGGCGTTGCACTAATGGAATTCTCTTTCAATTAACACTCGCTCGTCCGGTGAAGGCGAACATCATTACCGGCAAATCTCAAACCCAAAAATTTACGACATGTGTCAGACACATACTTATCTATAAAAATAATGATCATCAATGAAACGGATGCAATCTGAGACCAAAGGTATAGGGTTGTAGCGCCGTTAAATCTATTATTTCGTTCTGTATGTCCCCACATATAATAAAAAGTAAAAAAGGACAAACGCCTTATAAAACAATTGAATACAATTCTATATACAAGAATAATGTCAATGTCAAATCAATAAAGACAGCCTTAAAATTAAAAACACATCTTTGTTTTCGAAAAATACAGAATCATATCTTACACAGAATACGTAAAGTAAATAAAACTTCCAACAGATTGCGGAACTATAACAATAAATACGATCTTTGGTTTCTTTAATCGAAAAACAATATCGGAATCACGATTGGACCAAATTGCTTCGAGAAAAATATCTGAAAATGCAAACGGATTGGGACTACAGTACTGATCGACACTCGCATTAAGGCTAGTTTGGGTGGCTTCTTTATAATATAATATTAACGTCATTTATTATTGCGCGCGTTCTATTCTATTACACACAGAAAAACAGCGTAACAATGCGAAATGGGCCGGTCACACTGCCCTCGTTTGTTATTGCAGATGGTTCAAAAAGGTACTTAATTGTAATTGGTCCTTGGCCCAGTGAGCAAATGGAGAGGCTGCCACCTAGGGAGTTGAAATAAAAGAGATAGCGTGGAAAGAATGGAAAATAGTAAGATGAGATGGAAAGTGGAAGAATTTAGAGGAGGTATTCACTCGTCGGGAGGTCGTGTAGGAGTTTTTAAAATAACATTAACATAGTGTAACTTAAATTATAATACTCGAATAAAGGCTATTTGTTTTCTTTATGATTACTTTTAATTGATATGACTTGACACATTTGCATTTAAAATTAATTATTATTAATTTTATGTTGTACTTATTACATAATATATTTTTAAATTTACATTAAATCTACATATTTGATATTTTATAGATACCAGTGTAACCGAACTAAAATTCGTTTATTTATGACACGACCTTAATAAATTTGAAGAATACAAAAAATATGATCAAGGAAACAAGTAAAACAAGGCTAATAGATGGATTTTTTTTATATTTTATAGTTGCCATTTTCTTTTAGTTAACTTATACCAAGTGTCACTGCACCTTAGTTAATAACATTAACATTCAGATATCAAGTTATCGAACCAATATCGCTATGTAACAGATATTTCGGTTTTACAATGTAATATGTCGAAGGCATGTTCACCAATTAATCATATATATGCAGTTATATCTAGATAGTCTATGGTTACTGAGTCTACAATATAGGTTTATGCACAGATATTTGTGATCAAATTGCATAGATATTTCTATCATTTATATTCCTCCGCAACCCGCTGTTTTACGAACCTGCATACAGCGCAGAAAAAAAACCATGTTTTTTTTTAAATCCTTTGAACTCGTTCTGGCTCGTCTCGTTAACAGTGAAGATTAAAAGTCCTCGAAATATAGTACCAGAGCCGATTGTTGGTGATTTTTTACCCAAAAAGTTTGCGCTTTAATTTACTGATTGAAAACATCAACGGAATTTTTAGTAGTTTTAAATATTAAAGATCCGAAAAGGCCTTTCAAATCAATAGCGGAGCGGGACTATCAAAACATTTTAATGGTTGTTGAATTTTTATGCCTTTTATTTATTTAATAAAGCACTCTTTTATAAAAAAACGGAAAAAAATATTTATATAGAAATAATGGATAACAACCTCAATGTTAATATATATAATATTTATTTTTACATTATATATTTACTTACGTAATTTGACACTATATCTGGATGATCAGTTTCCAGTCCATCGTCAAGGATTGTAACAACGACACCTCGACCTGTGACGCCTTCCCGCCAAGCTGGTATCACGTTCATGTCAAGTCCACCACCGCGGTTCTAAAATTAAAATGTCAACTGTCACAAAAACTTCATTACATTTTTTATTCAAACCACCACAGAGCTCATAAATATCTGAAAAATTTAAAGAAAAACGCTTTTTACCGGATTAAAGTTATGTTCATTATTATAAATTTACAGCGTGCGTGGTCACCGTGACCACGCACGCTGTAAAGCACGCGAAACGTCGGATAAATTTAAAATTATGTCAAATAGTTGTAAATTTATAATAATAAACATAACTTTAATCCGGTAAAAAGCGTTTTTCTTTAAATGTGTAAAGGTTATGTTAATCAAAGACAATACTATCTGAAAAATTTTAATTTTTTTTTAAAATTAGAATGTATTTGTTATCTGTGTGTTTCAGCTGCAATGAGGAGGTCGCGACATGTCGCAGTTAAAATGGATTCTATTCGACGTTCAAATATTTGTTTGATTTTTGAATCGCACGTGATACTGCAATATTAAATGAACCTCAAATTAACTAAATTGTAAAATAATTTTGATATCTATTAAGTATATATATTTTGAAAAAACGATTATCCTTTGAAACGCCTTCTATTACGCAAGCTGTCTGTGTAATGACGATTAACTTCAATTTAATGCCTCAGAATGGAAATGTGTTGACGTCTTAGGCACAGTTGTGCCTTAAATAAAACTAGATTGATTGTAACGTGCAACCTTGTTGCCGATTTTTAGGTTAGTAATGAAAGCATTAATTATTTTATCGAGCCACATAATAATACAAGAATTGACTATAATCATTTGACTCATAATATAAAATTCTACCTTTTGAGACGTCACGCCACGCCATTACGACGGCACGCCATTATGTGTGGCAGAATATGAACTTTAGATTGTACCGCCATAAAACTTTTGTACCATAATCTTGCAAATAAAATTATTATTATTATGAATTTATCTAAACAACACAAGTGCCGAATTTTATATCTCCTTAGGTTTTGAAATCTCAAAATACAGTTGATTTAATAAAAAACCTATTATATTACGTTTTTAAATTTATTTTTAAAAATATTTGATTTTAGAATTTGACAATAGGCACTTAAACTTCTGTGTCAACCCGCATAAAATATTTTGCCGAAAAGAAAGCCAACGACATCCGCGTACATATAGAAACTTTTTTTAAACACAATAAAAAAAACAAATTTAAAGGCTTCAAAATGACAAAGAAAGATTCCCGTAGCTCAAATATATACGTGTAACATTAAGTAAATGAAGCTTAGGGTCGGAGATGTTCATTAAGAGAAAACAGGTAGGTAATGAGCTAGAAAATTGCCTTTTACACGACAAGTCACTTACGAATATATACATTATATGATACTAATCAATGAAAGCAGTCGCTTTGCGTAAAGTTATTACGATAAGGTTCTATGTATTTGACGACTGTGTGTAAGTCAACTGTTTGATGTATTCCGTATCCCACCCTTTAAGGAGCATGGGATACGGAAAATATCTGTTATATTGCTTTGATAAAATCTTATAGTCGTAATAAGTGTTTTAATCATTAATAATTTAATGATATAGGAATAATATCTATTACATTATATTTTTAAAATAAGAATTATTAGTTTATGTAATTAAATATGTATCTCAAACTTTTTGGTGCCTGTAGCTAAAGTACATCAATATTTGTACAATTAATGACTGAAAAAATTTCTCAATCGTATCTATGGGCCGATAAAAACATCTAAAGAAGCTATTATTACATTTGTTACATTATTACAAAAAGTTAATGATGAAGACAATATGGAAGAATTATAGAACTTACCAAATACCACATATGAGGCCATTTGGGATCATTAAGCACAAATCTCATATCCGTAGATCGCGGCCGACCTTTTACTCTTGTGTTTTGGAGCTCTCTCTTCGATCCGGCTTCTCTTTTCGTCGCTGAAGAGGGAGATGGACCAGCTGACGACTCAGTTTCAGCTGTAAATAATATCAGTGGATAGAGTACTATTAAAAGACCTTTGGAAGTTATTTTACAACACTGACAATTACAATAAAGATTTGATATCTTTCCATTTTTTTATACAGAACTGGACACACGTTTGGCCACAATACTATCTGATATTAAGTAAGATGTAGCCTATTGGAGGGCACGCTTGTCCAGAAGATGCCTATTTATTCGCCGCTTATATTAACCGATATTATATTATACATCTTTTACTTTTCATAAATATACTTTAATAACTTGATCTGTATGATATAAATTATTATTATTAAAAATCTAAACTCGGAAATAGTAAAAAAAGTGCGTGCGTACAAAGTACACATGTCAGAAGTGAAACTTCTTTGGCAAGCCAATTTTTAACTCTTGTTCATATTTATTCAAATCTAAAACTTTACATTTCCGAGACTTACGACTACTTAATTCAATTATCATTAAAAAATTAAAACTGTCGAAAATTAATACAAATAATAAATTTAATTTTTAAATTTATTTCTTCGATATTAAAAACACGTGGCATTTTAATTTATAATTCGTCATTTGAGATTTCAATAAATTATTTTCCATAAATTATCTTTACGAAATTTTAATTATAAAATAGAATTTCCATAAGGTAATTCATCCTTCTCACTCTGTTTCAATCGGTCTCAATCGCTCTTTCCTTATTCTTCGACTAAAACGCTGCACATCTTTGTGACGTTCCGTAAAAAAATTACCGCATGATGGTAATTTTTCTGTTCTCTATGAAAATACCCGTCTTACGACGAAATAATTGAATCCAAACTCGCTAATGCGCACAAACACTAGAATATAAAAGTAATCTTTGTGACAAAGAAGCCCCAGTGAAACGGAACAATGACGTTGGTCTTGAACTTCAGCCAACTTACGGAGTCAGGGTATCTAGGTCAACTGGCTATTTACCTATTTGTTCTTTGTTAACTGTTTTGCTGTTTACAAAATACTTTACACTGTACTTGAAATTTTACCTACGTAGCTTCGACCCTCGTTTGTTCATTCATGCATTTAGCTGAGTTCAATCAATAGATAATACTTGTTGGACATAGAAAGCTTACTGACATAAATAATTATCAGTAATGTTGACGCAGAAATCGTTTCCGCCTATTCAGAGTAGTAAACGACACCGACCTATAGCTGTACTTAGAGTCGGTCATAATAATATCTTGAATGATAGATTGAACATCAAAATGTGTTATAGGACGTGACACTCAGAGTAGTCTTATTAAACTAAGATAATTAAATAATCTAATGATAGATTTTCATTAAATAAAATATCTAGTCAAGTCACCTACATCGTGAAAAAAATTCAGGCTCGCGAGTGAGTGGCCGGCCTTTTAAGAATGTGTACAATCTTTTCTTGAAGGATCCTAAGTCAAATTCGGTCGGAAATACTGGGCAGCTGGTTCCACATAGTGGTAGTGCGCGGCAAATATTGCCTTAAAAGACGAAAGATGAACCTCAGCTGCAAGTATTAATCCATGTGTTTCTAAATTTTATATTGTATATTAAAAGTCCTCCGTCGCGTGCGGTTTTCACTAATATCTAGAATGATCCTTGATGATTGATTGGTATATAATTTTTAAGATTTACGTGTTACGGTAAACAAAAGTCCAACCGTGCGTCCGTGTTTTCATAAAAGACTTATGTAAATGCTAAATTAAAGAAAGCGACATCTTGAATAACTTTGAAATTTAAAAAACATTGGTCTTTGAAATAAAAATATAGTTGTGATTTTAAAGTTCTTCATTTCTCACGTTTGACTCGGGCAAACTTTTCCAACAATTAAGGCAGGCAATCATAAGCATCTGAATTCTCGGATTAATTAAAATTAAAATAACGATAAATTTTTGTTAAAAAAATATAATAACGACTTGACTATAACAACTTGGGTATTTGACCCTAAATTTCCCTGCACATAGATAGATGAGAGATGAGAGATTTCTAGGGCATATGTTTCGTCTCAATGAACAATCTTGTTAGAGATCAAGGGATCGGAATATATTAAATACTATATATCAACACAGATGCACTCTCTGGTCTCTAATGTTTACATAATGATCTCCGTAACAGACAGAATAGCAATCACAGAATAATTTAGCCTCGTTTATTCATTGAAACATTCAACCATATTTACAAAAGAGACTTTAAGTTTTATAGAAAACATTTTTTTTCAAGGACTTCTAACAGTTTTAAATTTAGTAAGTACACTATGATTAATTCTTCGTTGACAAGTCCTTCTACAAGTTGACAAGTTCTTTCTTTTTGAAGTTATACTTCTTTTGGCGCGTTAGGGAAAAATGATGAGAGTAAATTTTTACAATGCTCGCGCACACCATCACAAAAAACCGACATCCTGAAGATAGTCAGCATTTTAGTTTTTTTGGAAGTTATACTTCTTTTGGCGCGTTAGGGAAAAATTATGAGAGTAAATTTTTTCTATTGTAAGTGTCGTTTTTTCTACTAACGTAGAATCAGGCGAAAGATAACAATTTTGAAAAGATTTTTATCTTGTTACGCCAAAGTATTATAACTTCTAACGCGTGTACCTAAGTACACACACGTTTTATTGTTTGTGTTCGAGTCATCCATGATTGACCACCGTAAGAATATACATACGGACACAAAAATTTTAAGGTTTCTGATACGTCTCTAGGGTAGTGTATTAGCAACGGTTACAATTTAAATTCCTGACCCGGCGAAGACTTTCGCAATTAAGATATTTCAATGAAACTATATTTCATCTTGAATTATTGAGATTTTTAATTTTTTGGAAACTAATTATATCAGTAAAACGTATCATACGTAATATGTGATATTTTTAAACTATCTAGATATAAATAAATAACCCCAAATAACCTTTTATGCTTAAAGTTTTTAATTAAATCAAATACAAAACTTGAATGAAGTTTTCAAACAAAATTTGTAATACAGTTTCTGTGTAGTTCTCTCGACTCCTAATTAAACTTGAAACGTGGTTTTAATGAAAGTAAGCACACATCACTCATATCTTAAATAGGTTAATGAGCACAAACGGGCTCGGCAAAAATCAAGATGATTATTTCAGAGTTTTACACTTTTGGGTATTTGACTTATACAAATTATGCCTGATTAAAGAGCTTTTTAATCAACTTTATGCTTTAAGTTTTTATAGCATTTCTAGCTTATTTTTTTGTATATAGCGGATGTTATATATTTTATTAGATGCACAGACAATTTGAAAATATTGAAAAGAATTGCGTCAGTTAGCATTCTATGTTGTGTTACTATAAATAATTTATCTTCCTCCTTTTTACTTTCAGTATCCTTCTAGAACAAACGGATCGGTTACCGTGTTGAGTTCTGACGCCATTAGTTCAATAAATGCAGTATCGACTCAAAGTCCTGCAGATACAAGTCTTTCTGGTAGATGCTACAGAAATTAATTCCTCCCGATCTCTCATCAATGCCGTGCTATTATTTTTGGTGGAGTGATGTGGACGGGATGGATGGGGTAAAATAATCTGATCAAAATCTCAACACACATCGTTACATTAGAAATGGCGAAAAATATAACGTATGGGTAGAGCAAGCAAAAGCATTAAACTTTAAATACTGATACTGATCATTTACAGAGCTTATCAATTTTTAAAAAGCAAGAACCCACTTGCGATAGTTCTGGCAGTGCGAGTGTCCATGGGCGGTGTTTTTAACACCAGGTGAAGAAGACCCTTTTTAGGAAAGCGGAAATATGACACTCTGCTGCTAAGCTTTTCGCCTCAGATCTGCATTATCGCGTGGTTGACAAGCTGAAGCTGAAGATGAAGGGGTCCTATCTATATATCTTATAAAAAAAAAATCTAGTGTCACAATGTTCGTTCCCATACTCCTCCGAAACGGCTCAACCGATTATTATGAAATGTTTTATGCATATTCAGTAAGTCTGAGAGTCGGCTACTATCTATCTTTCAAACCCCTAAGTGATAAGGGGGGTGTCGACCCCAAATTTATTTTTTTATTTTTTGGGTAAAAATGTTTATTTTATTTATTAAACACCTAATTTTCACCCTTCTACGATGAACCCCTATTTTTTATTTGTTAAAACTTATGACTTGAACTCAGAGGTTTATGTAGAGAAAAATTCACAGAAAAACCATAAAAGTGTTCATTCCGGAAAATCTAACAGTCTCTGGGGTAGCATAGCAAAATGTTCCATGTTGGTATGTACTAAAAAGGTAGGTTAGGCATTAAGAAGAAACGAAGTTCGCGGGGGCAGCTAGTGTATGAATAAAAAAAACACCAGATGAGCCTCCAGCCCGTTTGCCACCTGTTCTATAAAAAAAATATTGTTACCTGTCGAAACGCTGTCAGGTATTGTTATAAGATCTCTTTTCTTCCTCGATAGTATTTTCTGTTGTCTGGCCCATAGCACTCTAGAGTCTGTCTCCAGCCGCCCGTGATGGTCATGGGCTGGTGTAAGAGATCGTCGTGCCACGGAGTTATGGTGGAAGTGAAAGTGGTTGTCAAATATCTGAAAGGGGAAATTTGTAATAATTTGAGTATGTCATGGTAAAATTATGAGCTGTTTGAATCTAAGTCTAAAACCTGAGATTTCTTTATTTGTTTCATATATGTGTCGTTTTTAAAAGCAGTATGTATTTTTCTGTGTAATCCTAAAAGAATATTTCCTAGAAGAATGGGGTGTTAATTATGTAAATAGAAAATAATATTATTATACAAATAGGGTTTGAATGCGACACCTCAGAATTAAGCGAAAGCTTAACCGACGGAAACTAGATATTATTGGAGTATCTGCTTTGCTTTTGCTGATGAAACCTTCAATAATTGCTAAGAAGGTTTTGGTGACAAATGTTTGCTTTGGTATGTTCGATTAATATATGGTTAAAGAGATTCCAATATCATCAAATAAAGAGTAGAAAATGAATATCTATTTAAACCTTTGAGACTTAGATTTAAAAATAACTGGAAGGGTGAATAATATATAATACAATGTATAAAGAACAAAGGGAGACCCAAAATATACAGTGGTTATTCCTGCCTTTGACGCTGTCATAATGGAAATTGTAGCTAATGTTTAAAGAGGAGCAGGTGAATAAAATTCATATGGCTGCAAGAAGAGAAGGTACTGCTAAATAATCATGTTATATGTTCACGAGGTGTATGTATCTATAAAATAAATTCCCCCCCCCCCTCCTCCCTTGGGGGCGCCCCCCCCCCCCCCCAACCCCCCCCCCCCGGGCCCCCCCCCCCCCCCCCGCCCCCCCCCCCCCCCCGGCCCCCCCCCCCCCCCCGCGCCCCCCCCCCCCCCCCCGGGCCCCCCCTTTTTTTTTTTTTTTTTTTTTTTTTTCCCCCCCCCTTTCCCCCTTCCCCCCCCCTTTTTTTTTTTTTCCCCCCCCCCCCCCCCCCCCCCCCCAACCTTCCCAAGTTTTGGTGGCAACCCCTTTTTTTTTTCTGGGGGGGGGGGGCCCCCCCCAAAAAAATTTTTTTTTTGGGGGTTTTTCCCCTTTTGGGGGTTTTTCCCCTTTTGGGGGTTTTTTTTTTTTGGGGTTTTTTCCCTTTTTGGGGTTTTTTTTTTTTTTTTTTTTTTTTTTTTTTTTTTTTTTTTTTTTTTTTTTTTTTTTTTTTTTTTTTTTTTTTTTTTTTTTTTTTTTTTTTTTTTTTTTTAAAAATCCCCTTTTCTTTTTTGAAAATGCAACCATCCCATTAATTTTTTTTTTTTTTTTTTTGTCAGTTCAACTATCGTCAGTAAACCGACTTTACAGACAACCATTTTTTGATTCCTTAGTTATATTTATACGCCTATTCGTAGATATGGGAAGGCATATTTTATGAGAGTTAATTCAAAAATCGAACAAAGCTGACACACACAAAATGTTTTAAATAGCAAACTGTTGAACTATTTCTCTCAATTTTTGTAGTTGTGGTATATTGACAGCGCGTCGTGCTTTACGTGTAAAACTATTCATTTTAAAGTAGGGTTCTTTTGAGTTCAAAAGGGCGGATCCTTTTAGCTGCCTAGCTGCTGGGTCTACGTGTAAACAATACTGTGCAATGAAAACACAATTTCGGGCGCAAGGTAATAAAGATTAAAATTGAATGCTCAACTTACTCTGTGACATACTTTAAACTTTTCGAATCTACTCATGAGCTATGGATAGCAATAATTTAGAACAGTTTTCAGTTCATATCTAAGTCAGTATAGGGGCTTGGTTTACAAAAGAAAGGACTTGTTATCTAATTTTACAATTCTGGTATAGGTGTAATACTCTAAATGTTCTTGAATACGCAAAAGACTTGAGAGAAACTGCGCCGGTACTCTGTAACTTCCAAATGCAATAGAGATAGGTTTTTGAATGCAATTTCGAGGTAGTTCTCTCAACATAAACAGCGCTGTTGTCGCAACCTTGGATTCGCCCAGTCAAAAATTTAACATTGAGCGTAATAGGTATTCCAAGTTATAGAGTACTGAAACCGGTGATTTTCAATATGTATTAAAGACATACTTTTTCATGACTCATTAGATGAGAAATCGTTGCTCAACAGACCATTATCGTCTTTAAAAAAAAGTTCTTTCTTTAGCCGTTGTTCTGTGATGATTGCCTAGCTTGTACACTGTCGAACAATAGAGCCTTATAGGCTGTAGCAAATATATAGCTACGATCATACATGTAACATACAAAGGGGGATTAGAATAGCCCGAGGCTCTCCGTATCCTCATTAGGAGTTCTTGCGGAAAAGCCGCATTTTTGTTGCTTATCAGAAAACATAATTAAGTTTAAATTTCGTTACGTTCTGCTTTATTAAGATTTGCTAAAATATTCATATCATAAATAAAACTCGACAGATGCTTGAAGTGATTATGAATATATTTAGGCATAACTAAAATAATATTGTATATAATACGTGTAAATCACTAGGTTACTGCATTTAACACGGGAAAATGGAGTTACATACTACAATGGTTATGTTCATCCTGCTACAGGTCATATTGTTTTTTCTAAAGTAATACTGATTTCAGACCATTGACCTATGGGTTAGGGACAATTTAGTCTTAAGTGCTATGTTAATATTGGTGAAGTTAGGTTAAACAAAAGTACTTAGGGTTTGGAGATTAAAAACATTAGTTCGCGTCTACGCAAACGTACCTGACGCATTGCAGGACTTCGGCAAGCCCAAGCAACCTTAACAAAGCCTTCCGGCTGAATTAGGCTGCACGAGTGAAATCTTTGACAATACGCAAACAGAATATCTTTGAGTTTCGGTGAGCTTCGTGCAAACCCATAGGTCAGCATATTACTCCCTTGCATACACCCTTACTTCTTATTAACAACTTTAAATGTAATATCATATTAAAGATAAGCTTGGAGTAGTGCAATCAGGGCATGCTAACAAGTAGCACCCGTCATTACGGCAACACCAGCTAACACGCGACATAAAAACCGCACTTCTATTATACGACCAGCCTGAAGGCAACGCATGACCTGCTAATAGTCAAAGAGCGTAGCAACATTTAAAACTTCTTAATTTATTCTTATCTTTTAATAATTATTAATTATTATAATATTAGTTCTTTATCATCTTACATAATTCTTTATTTACATCACACAGTTGTTGGCCATTTTTAATTTGCATTGTGCACACACGTTGCACGACAGTGTTGGTACCTGAATAAAGCAGGTTTTACTACTATTTAATTTTACCATTACATACGTACAAATAATCTAATTGATTATTATATATTTTTTCGGCTACAAGTATTAATTATAGGAATTCGTGATATCACCGGTAAATGTTTATCAAAATTCGTTTGTAAATTTCTTTTTTCGGCATTATCTTAGACTATTGGACTACTTACTACGTCTTTACATTTTGGATCCTTTAAGCTTTCATGGGTGTTACTTTGTACTCAAAAAGAATCTTTTATGTCCCTCGTTGAAAAATGTGGGAATGTGGGACACTTTCAAAGAAACTGCAACGTGTAATTTAGTAGAAAAGTCTTAATAAGAGGTTAGAACAACATGAAAAATACCTAGCAATAATCTAACCAGTTGTGAATTATAATTCACAATTAATATATTTTAAACTCGAATAATTTTATGATCAATGTTTTATAAAATAATAGTATTTGAACTTTGTTATATTATTAATTAGCAGTTTATCTAATTGCGTCTTTATTTATTTGCCAGTAAACATTCCCGAAAATCCCCGACTACGGTCACTGAAAGTGATTCCAATATGCAACGTTCCATTTCTAAATTCCTTAAAATTTAACTACGCGGTCCGGCGGTTACCATGACAACGGGGTCGTGTACTTCAAGCGTAAACAAAACACGGTTTCCTGAAATATGTTTCGCATCACCCCATCTCGTTACTTACCTACCGATATCACCCTTGGGAAATTAAAAGGACTTTCTTTGGGTTTAGGACATTTTTCGTCCTGCAAAGCTAATAGAAAATTATGGAGTTATAAATAACAGTATGTTTCTTTAAAAGGATTTCTATACAAAAAATACATATATAGGACATCTGTTTTATCACAGCGCTTTATTCATCTTGGTACAATATAATACAATCACTAGAAGGTTGTTGGAGAATTTGTGCTAAAATCGATATATTTTTATTGGCCACGTCTTAAGAATAACACGTTTCATTAATATCTGCTAACTTTTTAATAAGCTAAGAATTTATATCATGTTAGCTACTGAGCAATTGACTGAAATAGTAAAACTTTCGTTCGTTAAGGTTCGAATATATTAAAGTCTTAATACAACTTATTTTAATACATACAAAATGTATCTTTACTATCGATTATTATAGGCGATACTAATTTCTCAAATTACAAAAACACACAATTTTATAATAATGAAATCGCATATGAAGATCTTTAGGCCTATGTGAGAGACTGATAAGAAACGTGTCCACCTCGGACGAACGGCGACAAAACTAAGCAGTTTTCCGACTAACTATATTTTTATTTTATTTATTAAGACTTCGTTGCATGTACAGAAGTATGATAATTCACAATTAAATAATCAAAGACTGGAAAAGGAGTCATTATAGTCAATAAAGTTCAGTTTACATTTAAAAAGTTAAATAAATAAATATTTATTATTATTCTCTTACATTAAGTGTAACTTCATTCTGTTAATTTTGTGTCACGGTGCGCGCGCATCGTAAAATTTATCTCTGATCAATTTTTCATGACGCGCCTAAAGAAGTATAACTTCAAAAAAGTACATAAAATTTAGTAATCAAAAATGCAACAGTCTTATATTCGACTTAATTATATTATATTAAAGTTCTATTTAAATGGTTCGCGCTCGCGTAAACCACAGACAATATTGCATCATTTATTACCAATGCCAATTGAAACAGTGTTCTAACCGTTCAAACGATCGATGCAGAGGTCATTTAACGGCAACTGAAAATTTATTGGAAATAAGATCCGAAGCAAACGCAATGTAGTGAAAACGTGCGCTTTTGTGAGAGGCGAGGCTTTCACGGCACTGCTTTACCCCCCTCTGACCCCATTCCCATTCAGACCGCGTGGCACCCAGACACATTTCTATCTCTTCCTCTATTAAGCACTATATTTGACTTTGATCTATTACAGCAGTTGTAGGAATAATTATTTAACTTCGAAATACAAAATTAGACTGAAATTACGCTAACTTATTAAGTTCAGTAAAGTTTTGTGCCAACGGCAAATTTGATATTTTTAAATTTTAAGTAAGATCTCGTCCATTCGCTAATGTTTAACAAAATTAATTTACAAGCGTAAACTTGATTAGTGCATCATCTAAATTCAAAAACAACAGAAACTATTTAAATTCTTTCGCCATGGGAATGTGAATTGAAGTAGTTTGAAATTCAAATAGTCAGTAGTTCATAGAGCCAATTATTGAGTATTTTAGCACCAGAAATTACTTATAATAAAATTAAAAATATAATATGATTAAATTTATTACATACAGCCATGTAATAACCTATATTAAATGAAATCCCACATCATTTTCAATGAACTTTGAACCTGTTCATTCTATTCATATTTGTGGAATCTTTATTAAAGCCTCCTACGTTATACATGTATTGAAGCATATTTATATGAAGTATGACCGGAGCTTTACATAGATAGAGAACTTTTGCCACAAATTGTGCCTTTGTATTCTAGATAGTAACAATAGGCATTATAAAAATATACTAGCATTTTGGCAACGTATCTTTAGGCAAATAGAAGAATATGGGGACATTGACCTATGCATATTATGGAGGCTTTACAGAGTTCAATGACACGACATTGTTACTATTAGTTTGCATGACGTTAAGTGAATTAGCACGTTCTGAGGACAAGTTTAACGGAAATATACTCAAACACGCTCCTATTTCTGTGTAAAGAATACCTTCAAGTTTATAATATAATATTATTGTTAATAGGTAGGAGTACTTTTAAAAAGCAAGAATTAAAAATCGTTATTAATGAGAAATTATTTTCATGTAAAACTTTAGATTTATAGGAATACCAATTAAATAAATATTGTCTATTCTATTTAATATATATTTTAAAAAGTTTTTACTAAATTTACCACAACAAAGTTTACCTCTTAGCGAACTCATCATCGCTGCTACTGGTCTAAGATCCCGCTATACAACGACCTTCACCGAGATGCTTATTTAATGAAACTTATTTTATATATAATTTAATATGTCAATAAATATAATCCATATGGGTTGCCTACAAATTTCAGTCCAGAGTATGTTTAATTAATTTAAAAAAAAATATTTTTTAAACATTTCACCGGTATGATTATTAGATAAATTCTATACCAATCGAACGCATAAAGCCCATAGAATATGCAAACGTTAGGTTGTTTTTAATCAATTAATTATTTATGTGTATATTTTTATGTGACACTAAAGTATATATACATCTTTAGTATAAAAGAAGGTTATAGTGATACATATATAATACTACTCCTGATTAAAAATATTGATTGAAAAAAGTTCAAAAAATTTACTACATGCAAATTATAAAAAAAAAAAAATTTTTTTAATATTAATTAAACATACTCTGGACTGATATTTGCTAGGCAACCCATATGGATTATATTTATTGACATATTAAATTAAATATAAAATAAGTTTCATTAAATAAGCATCTCGGTGAAGGTCGTTGTATAGCGGGATCTTATACTATACATTATTCAAAAAAAGAATTACGTGACATGACTCAAATACAACCCTAATTCAGCAAACAAGAAACATTTACATGAATAACATTTTTATGCATAAATCGTTTCAACTAACAGGCGAACAGTAATATGTGAAATCCAATAGGGACACCGAATAGAGATGCTCGAATTACCTTTACAGCTGCAAATACGATGCCTAATCACCAGAGTGGGAGCTTTGCGATCTATGGACTCTAACGAGATGGGGATACAATAAAGTTCTGCAATCTACGACTAGAGAGAATAAAGGCCATTACAATTTTGCATATTACATACCATACATTACATTACCACTTTACACTACGCATTATAACCTTTTTTAAAATCAATTGTAGTAGCAGTGACAGTAAAGCGTGTAGGTAACATTTAAATTCGCAACTAGATTTATTAATAACATTAAATCTGTCAACCCGTTTTCTGAAAAACAATCAAACGTCTAAAATATTTCTCTCTCTTTATTTCTTACCTTTTTTCAGTAATTTTTATAGAATAATAGCTCACTAAAATATATATTTTTATACGGAGACGTATGAGGTACATCAGAATTAGCAGCACTTAAAATTAGTTATGAGCAGTGTTGGCCTTGTGGTTTCAACGTGCGACTCTCATATCGTAGGTTCCATCCCCGGCTGTGCACCAATGGACTTTCTGTCTATGAGCACGTTTAACACTCGCTCGTACGGTGAAGGAAAACATCGTGAGGAAACCGGATCCAAAAAGGCGACGGTTTGTTCAGGCACAGACGGTTGATCACATCCTTGCCTATTAGGAAATATCAAGGAACAGCCTTGCGATTCTGTAACTCACTTTTCGAAATCGCACAGCGGTTTTCACAGCGGCGGTCGCGCTCAAATCAGTCGTGAAGCAGTCATTTTACGATTTGGAATTCTAATAAACAATAAACTACAAGCTCCCTCCTTATCAGAATGCCAAATCGTAAAATGACTGCTTCACGACTGATTTGAGCGCGACCGCCGCTGCGAAAACCGCTGTGCGAGTTCGAAAAGTGAGTTACAGAATCGCAAGGCAGGTTGTAAAAAGGTTGAAGCGCTATTGGTAAAGTC